AATTCCTAAACTTTGTTAACGGAGATAATTAGGTCATTAAATATAACATATGCACTATATCGTTTATGAATAAGCTTAACTTAGGCCAAATGATATATGGTGCCCTAAGGGTAATTGATTAAAAAGTTCTGCAATGATGTTAATATGATGATCATACGAACATGCTCATAATGATGCAATTTGATTTTGACATTATTAACTAATGAAGGGCATTGGCAAAAATACACTTTTGTTTGGATTTGTACCATGAAAACTAGCGAATAATGCACTATACACATTGAAAACCGTTAATTTGAATTTTAGACCTACCAGATGCTTGAAAATCAAGGATTGTGTTTAACAGAATAATGTATCAGCAGAAGCCAGAAAGGCATTTTTGTTTTGCTTTATATGGAACAAGTTTGAAGAAAAACGGTGGCACATTCCTTAATTTTCAAATATCCAGTAGGTTTAAAATTCAAATAAATTAATGATTTTCAACGAGCATAGTTGGACTCGTGTATATATCCATTAGTGAACTTGGGGTATGTTCCGAGGTCATTGTGGACCCTCAGATGCTCACGATAAGTTCAGCTCTGGTTAATACAGTAATTACGCCTGTAATTATTGAACATCGAAAACAAATGTATTGTTTATAAAAAATGGATTTATTCACATGACTTTTTTATATAAAATACATAAAGACTATTTACACATTATTCATTAATGATTTCAAGCCTACCTTTTTAGTAGACTAGATAAAAAAGCGAACACATTTATCTTCTTACCAAGACATGGGATTCAAAGATCAAAGGGATTTCATGAACACAAAATCAGTGGGGCCAAAATTCTGATTGCTTGTTTCAAGAGCTTTCACTCTGGAAAGCTCATGCTTGTTTTAGTTATTGAAACTATTGGCATCAAAGATGTAATATTTGAAAAAAACATCTGGATTTCTATTTTAATATTGACTCAATACAAATTAGGTCAATCTATTGATTAACACTTACATATGTGATTTATCCTTTGTTAGCATTCATGAAATAGAGGAGCAAATTCCAGAAATCAATTTGAATTATCTTTTTTAGAGGAAGGCTGTCTGAAAATGTAATTGATTATATTTGAAGTAAACATCAAATTATTGATATGATCTCTTATCGGGAAAATGTGAACGTGAAACAGAGACACGTGAAACAGAGACACATGAAACAGAGACACGTGAAACAGAGACACGTGAAATATGGCAGAGACATGTTTGATATCAGAACTGTTATCTGGTTATACCGATTACATTGTTTAGAATTGTGACTTGATTATGTAATATGTTTTGATGATAAACAATCGATTATAATGTAGATAAGATGTGTATCTTAATGTATACATTTGTACTACATGCCTGATATATGAAGCCTACTTAGCAAGCATTTAATTCAGATGATGTCACAAAATTTAATAGTCTAGTACACAGATCCAAATATTAGGTTCAATATCAGCCAATTATTGGAGCTATGGACTACACTAACCAAATATTGATTGATTTTTCTGAACATAGTGCTAACACTGGTATATTATACTAAAATGTACAAAATTAAAATTTACAACAATAACATTTTGAAATAAATAAATAACGACCCCTTGAATATGATGATACCATTGCAAATATTCAAACACATATGAAATTTTCCGAGAAGGGAAAGTGTAATAATGAACAAAACTATTTTTTGACCAAACCCTGTTAATTTTAAGTGCATGTTGAAGCCAACTGTTTCAATATGTCTTAGATCGAATAGCCTCCAATTCAATTTGTTTAACTTTTGCATGGTATATCACACAATAGGTTGACTTGTAGTCAGTTGTATAGTTTTTGCATAGTGATGTGGCATACCTTTTTTACAAACTTAGACAAGAATTTTGATATCAAGTAAAAGGCCTAATTCTAAATAGACCATTTTAACGCAAAATAAATGAAATTCATCTGTCTTTGATTCCATAATGGCAGAATCCTGGAATCGTTGACATAATAAAATTTCACGAATCCTTATTCCATAATAACAATCAATCTGAAAATCGGCCTTCAGCATAGCAATGTTCTGATGTAAAGGTATTCTGCATTCTAAAAGCAGGTTCAATATAAGCTCTATGCTACAAGACTATAGTTTTAGATATAATTTACACTTTATACATTTTCTGATATTTAACTCAATTATGAACACTATCGTAAATCTGCTTCTTGAATGCTTGATATTTTGAACACTTTCATAAAATCCTTGAAGAACACAGTTTTGGAAATATTATTCTCAAACCTGAAAATTACAATATTTTACCATGAACATTTCTGGTTTAACTCCTAAGATTGCTATTGGCAACCAACTTTGACATGAAAATAATGGTTTCCGTCCATAGTTGATTTTGCTACAGAATCAGATTCTTTCTGATTGCCTAAGACAAAAAACTGATTGTGACTATTTTTTTAGCTTTGAACACAATATTGATGATTGTTAAATTGGCGACCAAAACACTGAAAATTGAACACAGTACAGTAAAAACTCTCGTGGAACGCCTCTACAAAAGGAACTCTTTTTGTGATTCAAAGGCCACTTACACAAGTTTACACTAGATTATACATGTACTTGCTTTCAAATTTATGAGCAATTGTTCAACCTTGATTGATTTCATTTGCAGATTACAACACAGGTTTATTAGAACACGGGTTTATAAGAACACGGGTTTGTACATGTTGTAAAGGAACACATCGCATGATCACACATTTCTCGGTAACAAAAATAATTTACATCAATATTAAGTAGTTTGAAAATACAAACATGTTTAGAATAAGTTATTCAGCCATCACCTTTCTGCTTTCAAATTGACATATTGTTGACCAACCATGTGTGGCTTCCTTAGACATTGAAAGATAACAAGGTCATGTTGATTTCTCAAAATTCATAAAGAATTCCCTCATTTAAAGATGCAGATTGAGCAATGGCATACATTCATTTCGATCAACACCAATGAATAGCATGGTATGCATGCACCTTTAACATTTAATGAGAATACAGAGAAACTGCATAATCTCCTGCTTGAAGAAATGCTTGCCATCAACTTGCACCCTTTAAGATAAGTTGTGCAACCTTTCATGTAAGTTATACAACCTTTAATGTAAGTTGTACAACATTTCATGTATGTTGTACAACCTTTCATGTAAGTTGTACAACCTTTCATGTAAGCTGTGCAACCTTTCATGTAAGCTGTGCAACTGTTCATGCAAGTTGTACAACCATTCATGTATGTTGTACAACCTTTCATGTAAGCTGTGAAACCATTCATGTAAGTTGTACAACCTTTCATGTAAGTTGTGCAACCATTCATGTAAGTTGTGCAACTGTTCATGTAAGCTTGTGAAACCATTCATGTAAGTTGTACAACCGTTCATGTAAGTTGTGCAAGCTTTGATGAAATCTTGCAACCTTTAAGGCAAGTTGTGTCAATTCTACATGAAGCAAAACATATTTAAATGCTAATGGAAGTCCAGCTGATCAGGAGGTAGGTATAAAGGCATTTTTGCACACGTATGATTGTTTCCTGCGCTACGAAATGGTCAATTGTGGAAATTTGATATATTCAAATCTTACATCCACTTAGTACAGTAGGGTTAAAATCTACTGGACATTTCCATTTTGTTTTTGCGCGATGTAGTATAATGGAAAACTAACACTTGTGCAAATGTATAGTAGAGAAATACTCATAGGTTTATCATGTACCAGTTCTAAGACATCTCAGTGGGAAGTGTGCACAAAAATTAAATAAATAACAATATTGGTCAAGTTCTTCAAACATTAAAAAGTTATGGAAGTCAGTTGTCTAGTTTGCAATAACTTAGTTAATCTCAGAAATATCAATTGATCTGTAGAACCATAATTATACTTATGGAGAACAGAATAATACCAAAGTAACATTAATCAATGCTAAAGTAACATGATTAATACCACAGCAACATTAATCAATGCTACAGTAACATGATTAATACCACAGAAACATTAATCAATGCTACAGTAACATGATTAATACCACAGTAACATTAAACAATGCTACAGTAACATGATTAATACCACAGTAACATTAATCAATGCTACAGTAACATGATTAATACCACAGTAACATTAATCAATGCTACAGTAACATGAATTAATACCACAGTAAGATTAATCAATGCTACAGTAACATGATTAATACCACAGTAACATTAATCAATGCTACAGTAACATGAATTAATACCACAGTAGTATTAACCATGGCTCCAGTAACATCAAAGTTACAGTGAAGTGCCTAAGATTGAATTGCCCTAGAACTGCTACAAGATAATCCTTTTGAATCACATTTCATAAATCCACTAAAACAGACATCATTCTTACTTTATAGGATGTTCAACAGTGTTAACAGTTGTGGAAAAAAGAAATCAATTTCTTATCAGCTTTGACAAACCTGACCCTTAAAGGCCCCATGCAAAGTAAAAAAGTTGAAAATATGTTTTTATAATTCATTTACTATGATTCATGACTTTAAAAGTTGTTTTTGAGATTTCTGAATCTCCACATCGCACTCGATTTGGCCAAAATCTGGTCAAAATATTATAAAATAAAAATTATCTTTTGGCCCTCTCATGAAAAAATTAATTTCATTTTTTCCAGAAGCGTCAATATGTGAACACAATCCCTTAGGATTTAAATTACAATTACGAAGCTATTGTTCTAAAACATCATCCTCCGAACACAGGCCTCCAGAACACATACCTTACTTAGGAACATAGTCGTTGATGTCTGGAGCACTGCGTTTGGAGGATGTGAAAAAAATGCTTCAAATAATTTAGGTATCTTGATATGTAACATAAACAACTATATTAATGCATACAATGAGCCCTGATCTAGAACCTTGGTAATATTTACACATATGGGTACCCATCATAAAAGTCGCGATAGTCATGCTTTGAAATGCAAAGTAGAGTGGAAAATACTGAAATCAGCAAGGAATAAAGTAAAAAGATATGTTGTTTACACTTTAAATTGCATAGAATTGCCGACTTTAAAAAATGTAGTAGAATTCCATGGAATTGATTCATGGAATAATAATAAGCAGACAGACTTCAATACATGGGTACCCTCTAGGGGACATTGTGTGATTAATGTACACAAATAAAATTATATTCGATTAAAAGTACATAATAAAATCATTCTTTTGTACACTTAGTCAAACTTTAAAATATTCTTAACAAAATAACTGCCAAATCTTTTAATATTGGCACTGTGATTTGCAAATCAATACAAATGGATTTTTTCTGTGTGGATGCATATTTTGTGTTCATGCTTTAACATTTTGTAATGCATGTTCTTGATTTTGAGAATGGATTTCTCTAATGTTTCTAGAGGGTTTATGATTATTCCTTAAAATATTCAAAAATATTATTTTGAAGTTAAAGACAGAAAAAACATGTTATAAATCATACTGAATACATCGCTTTAAATGTTACAATTGTTATATAAATGTGCGTCTGTACAACTGTGCATAACATATGTTATCATATATGATATGATTATGCAGATCTTGTACCTTTGCCTTTCTATCAATTGGAATGTAATCTACGTCTTCATTTCATTAGTGAACTTAAAAAAAATCATGTACCAAAACTTTTAAGTACATATACTGTATTTCAATATCTAAGATATGGCAGATGTAATATGACATCACTTATATTGGTCTATGAAATGTTTTGAAATGAATTTACAGATTTGTGATGTCATAGTTTAGCAAAAGACCAGGATGCAGCCGCATAAGACTTGACCTCCAAGTTAATTTTCCGACGGATATATATGAAAAAAACATGACAACTGCTCTGTAATTCAGTTTTGACGAGTAGATCAGAAATCTTTACGCGGCACCCTGGCATTATTTCAATGTATGATGTATTGTTTGTATGTTATGTAATGTTTGTGTTTCTTTAACTCTTTCAACTCTACAATGGCACTCTGGAATTAGTTCACTCTTTCAGCATTCACAAAATGTCCGATCATTCTAAACTCCCAAGATCTTGATTGCGATCCCACTATGGGACTCTGTACCATAGTTACTTAGGATACTGTACACTATACACCCCAGTCCCATATACTGCATTGTTCTAGATATTTACATTCTACGGTAGGTTTTCTGGCCCATAAGAAAAATTTGTGATAGCAGAGAGAGGGTCATTTTTTCTATTTTCAAAGAACAGGGAATTTTGCAAAAGAAACTGAAGTACTGAATTATACAAAAATCTAGAAAATCACGAAAATTAAAAATACATAAATTTTGAAGTTTACCCCTCCCTCTATCTTTCTTACAGGCCATTTACTACTACCACACAAATCGAGCGAGTCAGCTGTTGCCGGGAGATGGTTGACTAGCTCTAGATGTTGTCTCTCCAAGGTGATATTACAACAGATGTGTGACGCCTTGACTACTAGGTACAACACTACTCCGACAGTTAGGCCGTGATTTAGGATTAAGTCCATTCTGAAAAATAAGTGAATAACTGAAAATGCTATATTGACCTCAGAATGAGATCTAGGACTTGTATGGATGAAAGAGTAATAGAGTTGTTCCAGTCCCATTGGTTTCTGTGTAAGTATAATGTTATCAAAACTTAAAATGCATTTTTTGACAACGTTGTGAAGCCATTTTTAGCCATAATTTGTCGAAGTTCATAAGATGCATTTAATTGTTTTTTATTCCCAATTAAACTAAAATAAAAGATCATGTTATAGTTCTGTGTTATACACAGAGTATATTTCCTAATTTGGAAGAATCCATCCTCATAACACCTCTAATTGTGAATACTTACTGCAAAATCTTTGTATGATCCCGTGCTTTCCACAGACACATCATTGACCTCCTTAGCCATAGTAGTTTGGCTGAATGGGTTCTGCGTCTCATTGCGGTCTGTAAGAGCCTTCCTCGTCATCCTCTGGGGGGTAGGTCTCAGCTGTTTGGGGGTCTAAATAAATATGTATAAATTGAATATCTGGTTTCAATACAATATTAACAATAATGAATAATTTAGATATAAAAGACGTGACAGTCTATTTTATGAGATGCACAAAAATAGAGGTTGTGCATCCTTTAATTTGAACTTCATAACTTTATATTCATAACTAAAATTAAATATATAAGCATCATATAAAATGTAGGCATATATCAGTTTTACTACCTCTACTAAATAATTACATCAATTTATCCCATAGTTGAGGTCAAATTTGCATGGAATCTTGCTCGTAATAGTTTACTTAGTTTTACTTCCTCTACCTCTACTAAATAATTACATCAATTTATCCCATAGTTGAGGTCAAATCTGCATGGAATCTTGCTCATAATAGTTTACTTATTTAATTTCAATCCCGAGTCAAGTGTTTGTTACCTTGGTACCAGTAACTGGTCGAGGGGGTCGAGTAGGTGGGCCAAAGGGAGATGCGAACACAGATGTAGTATGGTTGCGAGATACAGACTGGGGAGTCTGTATACGTGACTGGGTCATTGCCCCAGGGGTGCGTGACATATCATTTAGCTGCAAATATAGAGGGCGCTGGTCAGGATTAGGATCTATAGCTACTAGCTATGGTATTATTTTAGGAAAACCAATAGTGAAAAATTATTGAATTTTATCATTGACTGATCTTTACGCTTGCATGCAAACTAAGCATAACTTTCACTATTGACTCTCCACTCTTATATTAGTAAGACTGAAATGTCATGAAATGTTTTCTTGCAAAATAAAATGCAAAGAAACACAGAAATTTCATAACAATATAATATAAAGGCCAAAGAAAGCATGAAAAAGTGCATGAACTTTGATATACAGGTTTATTCAAAATCAATCAATAGTTATAATTAAAAAGCGTAATCATTCATGGTATATATTAAAGACAAACCAGAAAAGCTGTAGCTGAGCTGTAGCATATGAGGGGCATAGACCAAGATTCTATGATACATATGACAACTTTTTCTGAAGCAATCAAAATTAAAGTGATGTAAGTCTTTGGCAATAGGCAGAATAAAAATCAAATATTTGTCATAAATCATAAAATTTAGGTCTACGTCATGATTCCAATATGATAAATAAACAAATTGTTAAAAACACCTTTTATAATTCATTCTGACACTCATTACATCTCATTTCTTACAAAAGCCAAAGAATCATATCTGTGATAAGAAAATAGATACAATGAGTATCAGAATGATCTCAATTTGGATGTTACTGCTCAATCATTTTAGAGCTCCACTTTAATTGTACTAGTGATTGTGACATCATTTATCAATTTAGAATCTACGTCACTACACATTTACCAGATTTTTTTATCAAGAAATAAGGCTGAAAAGCATATGCTTGTGGAGTTTTAGAATTTTAAACTCGATGACATATTAACTAAGAATTATATATTTAAGCACATCCAATCAAAAATAGAATAATTGACAAGAATATTACATCATAGTACAAGAATCTAGAAGCGTTCCTATCACCAGTTGTCTACAAGATTATAAAGCATGTTACTAAGCATTCTTTGTATCTAAACTACATGTACAATGCATATTAACTACAGGGTGGTTCAAAAAGTTGAAAATTAGATTTGTTGGACCACCCTGTAGTAATTTTTCTCTGAAGCTACCTAAAAAGCAATTCTACAAGAGAAAAGTTTACAAAATCCATCACCTCTACAAAGCCTGCAATAAAGTGATTTAGAAAAGCTGTTGTTGGAGGTAGGGGGAGGGTGTGTATGGGATGATGATAGCCACACATCTCTAGGAGCCTTTGAAATGTCTAGGGACACGGTTGGATCAGGGGATCTCGTAAGTTTCTAATGTGGGTCTGGGATATATTTAAGTGGTTAGTCAACTGTAAAAACAGTTGACTTTATTTTACCAAAATTGTCAGTTTTTCTGTCAAGTCAAAAATTGATCAACTGTATGGTCAAATCAGTTCGGAAAATGGCAGTCATGCGTATCAGTGTCTTTCTCTTTTGGGTTAAGACTCACATAGTTTTTGGGTGCTGGAGATTTCAATCCAGGAATATGCATAGGAGGGGACCTAAAGCCTGCCGTGTAGTCTGCCTGCTATAACACATAAAGAAGTGAAACAAACATAAATAAATAGGTAGAAAAAAATCAAAAGATCCCTGAAGCAGAAACATGAAACTAGCAGATATGAACTGTATATTGTATATTCCCACAGTAGCTTTCAATATTCAGTGACTGTTAAGACGTCATGCTGACATTTGCAGAATAATGAAGTTACAAAAAAGTTTTTAATTGTTGGTGGATGAAGCTTCTATTTTGAATTCTTAATCAGGCTTCAGGAACGGGGGAAGTCACAATCATTCAAAGGTACATTTTTTCTAAGGATGTTGATATTTGAAAACAGTCTCTTCAATAGAGAAAACATATTGTAGAATTTCCAGAACTAATAACAACATGTCTTGAAATATCTATGTGTAAAAACAAAATCCCCACACATTAGCATCCTTCTAGCCTTTCAAGTTCTAAAGATCTATATAAAGCAGAAGTTCTGAAGGTGACATTGAGAAAGGGAAACACAGTCACACAGCAGACAACTATGCCAGGAGCCATACGTGGCTCAATAAGTATAGGAAATGCTATGGCACGGTGAGACTACACATTATACAGAACAATTATGAACAAATGATCGCAGCAACTATAATAAGATAATTAATTTACATGCAATTAATATTCATACCACTGACAACACCAAATATAATATACAGCAAAACCAGCAAAGAATATTTCTTGTCTATCAATATTAATACACAATGCTCTCCATGTAAGTAAACTATGTATCTAAAATACAAACCATGCCAGGGCGCATATTTCTTTTGAATCAAAAGCAGTCACTATACCAGGCTTTGATTGTACGGTGTGCAATAAAATTGGTCAAAAGGGAACATCTCAAAATGTGAACTCTTGAATTAGATTTATACTTCTTTTAATTAAATATCATTTAAATTTCAAACATGAATAAAAATGTTTGAACTTTTAATTGGACACATGAGCGTTCACTCTAGACAGGTTTTACTGTACATTACATGCAGTTTCTTAGCAACATTCTACATTAGCAACATGATTGTGACACAATGTTGCCCAGCAACAACACAAATATACTGTTGTTATGGTTACCTGCTTTGACTGTTGACAACAGTTTTGACACAGTTTACCACACACTGGGCACTATGAGAGAAATAAATGCATCAATTTGTGGACACATTGATATAAATATGTGTCAATAATTGGACACTTTGAGAATAATATGTCAATATGCGGACACTTTGATAAAAAAGTGTCATTAGTGTACACTTTCAGAGGAATATATTCATTTAATGACATATTATTATTGTGTTAATGTAATGACATATGTTGAATAGATATGCAGATGATCATAGTCTCCTCCAAGCTTTCTGCAAAAATTCTTCACAGGGATTTTATTAGCAGCAGGCAACAAGCCATTTTCAGCAGTTGTTTTCACAAAATTGCCTGTTGTTTTTAGGGAATTTTGAACTTTTCCACATCATATTTTTGATTTCCTTTAATTTTGCCAGTTCTTTTTTTTATTTATTTAGCATGTTGTGAAAAATTCTCGTGAAACCTCTGCTTCTAGTGAAATTCTTTGTTAATTCTGCAGGTTTAGATAAGAATGAGATGAAGACAAAATTATTGTGAAAGTCATTCTTTGTCTTGGGTCTGTGGAAATGGAAAACCAGGAGGAGTGATCATATGTCAAAAATGGATGTGTCTAATGCATTTAGGCATAGAATACTAAATTAAAAAAAACATTCTTGACATATGCTTGGTATGAATAATTACAGATGGAATGACTGCTAAATAGACTATATAACATGTCAATCATGACTTATAAGGCCACCAAGCCTGTCACATATATACATGGAAACTGGGTGAATAAAAATTAATTAAAAAAAATTGTGATGCAACGTGCATAATCTACATGCAGTATAAAGACTATATATTTGGTTGAATGATATTTCTAATGCAGCATGTGTTGTGAATGTTATTGTTAGTAGGTTATAATGTACATATAAACATAAAATTGAGTCTTCACTGAATATCACTTACCTGCATAAAACAATTTTATTTTGCGATAAAATTATTTTATGTTTTTCCGTTGCTGTTCAAACACGTCTACCATTGTCAATACGAATGTGTTTATCCCAAAGAAAAAATAAAAATTGGCACAACCCCAAAATTATAAAGAATTATATTTCATTATTACTATGTTCCGGAAAATCAAAGGTTTCCGCGACCTAATAACTACATACAAATACACAACGCAAACTAATCTAAGCGAACACAAGCAGGCTTTAAACATAGCACGAGTACCTACCCTGCTCCGTAGACCTGTCCGCGTCCTGTTGGGAGTGCGTGACCCTAGGGTAGAGTTTGGCGTCCTGCTGCTTGCTATACTAAGCTCAGTCTGGGGGACAAGATACATAACAGTATGTACAGGGTCACCAAAAGCTCTTGACAATGTTTCACACATGTTTTAAAGTCTAATTTTTCATTCTAAATCCCTCTTTATTTTAAGGGGAGTATCCCACAATGCTTATGTTTCGATGCAAGATTGCTGGACATTTTGACAGGAAATTCCCCAAATCAACCCAATTTAAATGATCTGAATTATATGTAAACACTGTCAAGATATTTGAGAAACATTATTATTACATCATGTTATGACGATTAGTTTGTCAATGGTATACTGGGACAAGGAAAAAGCTCAAGCAGCATCATCTTACATTTTAAAGCTAACATGCAAAATCATTCAAACATGACTAAATACAGGGTCACAGCAATTTAAACTGCAATCCCTGCCCCCTAAAAACTATTATACAGGAAGTCATAAGGAGTAAATCACAAAAATAACATGATTGGTTGAAAGATTGCTGCTGTTTGAGAACAAGTTCCTTTGTGAGTTTTACAAACAAGAATAGATGTTCCTTAAACCTTAATATTAAACATGATTGATTAATCATTAATGAATAAACAATTAATTACTTTTAATTCAAATATTACATGTACACGTTTATATAATAGAGATGTTAATAAAGAGATTACTTATTGTAAAGGACCTATAAAGAAAATAGTCAATAGAATATGATATATATGTCTATAGAACCAAAATACATTAGCAAGGATGCAAAGTGCTAATTTTAAAATGCCAAAAATGTCAAGATAATATTGATATACCAAGAATTAAGCCAAACATACACAAATGGGGCAAGGAACCACATGCCTCGCAAGAGTCTCACAATGCTACATGGAGTCCCATGCAATATAAAGTAAATGCAATCCCATGCAAATAATGAATATGTTCTAGGAACTCCGTAGGACTAGTTGGAGCTTTGGCGCATGGAGTTCCTCATGCGGCAAAACCCCATCGAGTCCCATGCAATGATGAGTCTATGTGGAGATCATACCCCATTTTAGACTATTTGTGTATGTTAGGCTTTATGGTGGTAGGGTGCACCATGCAGTGTAAGAATATGAAATTGTATAAGAAACAAGAGATGCTATACTGTAATAGGGACACCTACCATACTCTCCAACTAACAAAAACAGAAAGGAAAATGACTTATCACCCAAACCAAGCATTTCGAATATACTACAATCTACTGTGTGTAGTGAAAAAGTTAACTCCCAAGATATAAAAGTTATTGTATATTTTGATGAATTTCAATGAAGAAGCCAGAAACATTGACTTAAAACTGAAAACACTAACTACACATGTTCAGTAAAGGACAAGCAGCTTGGATTTATTTCAATTCATTTCCAGTTGTGATGTAACACTGTATGCAGGGAAGGACAACAAAAATGTAAACTATCACTGGAGTTGAGAAATGAGTTGAAATATCACCCTGTTGCATTATTCTACATTATACCATTACTCACCCTGCGCTGTTTATTAGGTGTGTTCTTGTTTGGTGTGGTTCCGAGAAATCGTCTTTTGGCAGGGGTGGTAGGTTTACTCCCATAATGCATTTCTTCTTCCATTATTTTTGCATTACGTTTGTGCTGAAATAGAGATGGAGAATTCAATACATATAGGTTGTTGCTCAAATCTGTATATTATCTTTTAATATATTTCTAAATGAAGCTTGCAGTACCTAGTGTTATTGAAGGGTAGATCACTGGAAAGAAATTCTTGGCTATGACAAAATCTCATCACCATTTGCAAATACAAAAAATTGCCAGTTGTAACAGATGACGATGCCAACGCCAAAGGTTGAATGTAGGAAATCACAAAAATAGTAGCTAAAATAATATGTTGTCTTATTGGTTGACATAAAAACTTAACACTCACTCTATTCTGTTTTTCCATTTCTTTATTTTTTGCATATTCTTCCCACTGGTAGGTAACATAATCCATGAACCGCATTCCCTTCAGTCGGAATTCTTTCTTATTCTCTTGTTCCCATTGACCTATTGCTTCATCCAGCTCTTGCTCAACCTAGTAGATTAACAAGAATATAAATAAATAAACTATGTAATTTTCACTATGTTTCGTAAATAATGTCTTTGTGAAAAGGTTGACAAAATTGTAGCATGCATAATGCTTATCTGAGTCTGTATTTTTTATTTAGTCAAATATCAAGTTAATCAGCCATACTTTTTAAATATTTTTACTAATTTCAACTCACTTATTGAATGATTTTAACTTTAACTCAAGAAATTATATTGTCATGATTGAAACAAAACCATGTATTAAAAACTTTAACTTCTTGTATACCTTTGGCAAATCCTTCATGAGTTTCTTGCGGTCTTTCTCCTCCTTTAGGAGACCGCCACCCCTGTTGGTGAATCTATTTGGGTCTGCTGCACGTCTCTGTATGAAAAAATAATAAAAACAGTAATACAACAAAACAGTATTTTGATTTGTATTTAACTCTCAACTGCCCAAGAACTTCATAACACTCCATATAGGGCACAGGTAATTTCTCTTATATGTAATTGACCCATGTGAGTTATGTTAATCTTTTTCAATCGTTGCATTCTGTTGGAATTCGATCATGTAAAAATATGAAACAATTGGTTTAATTTCTGAGATTCTATCATTCTTCTCTAAGCAGGTGAGGGTTAACAGGCTGTTATAGGTTAAACAGAGCAAGTCTCTCATATAAAAAAGATTATTAAACAAGAAAGGTAGACACACTTTTAAGCCTCAGGTTTGTGACACACCTCTAAAACCCTGGAATTATATCACTTTAAGCCAATTCAATGTAACTAATACCTGAACAAAAGCATTGACATGCAAAATGTCACCATCTGACATTTCTTAAAGACGCTGAAAGCTACCATTGAACACAGTCCACAAACAAGTCACAGAGTGAACAATATCGCTCCCTTGAATAGAATAGACACCTAAACATAACCTAAAATGCCCAAAAGCTAATCATTTCTAAAATTTCATATGTAAAATAGAAACATCCCGTGGTGACCAAAGATCAATAAATCGATTTCTTGGTATTTTCTTTTGCAGGTATAGAGAAACACTGTCAGTTAGCAGGGTCAATTCTGATACTCCTTGATATATTTGTAGTGTGATTTATTTTTATTTATCTATATACACAAAGTGTCAATCTTACCTCAAATTCCATCATATCTTCCCAAAGCTTCTCTCGTCTGGCAACCCGATCTAACATAGCTTTGTTCTCTTCATAATACTCTTTGATCTTTGCAACTTCTTTCTCATGTATTTCAAGTAGTTCTTCGCTGTAGTTATCTGTAAAATAGCAATTTATCCATGCAATCAACCACAATGTTCCTTCTTTACATATTTGAAGAATGTCAGCTAACTGCGCCAGTATGTTGGAAAACAAAACCAGGGGTGCATTTCCAGGGGGCACTTCTCGCATTCATGAATTTAGTATAATGCCAAGTCATAATTGCCATGGTACGACAGACTCTCTGAACTTCCTAAACAAGACTGCTTACAAAAATGTGCTCCGAGACTCTAAATTTTGTTTTATTTAAAAGTAAAACATTTAACTCAAAATTTTATTGTAAAGTTCAAAAAAGATAGTTATGAACACAAGGATCAATTTACAGCAAATACTGAGCTGAGTTGCTCAAAAACAACAAAAATTGGGTTAAGAAAAACACACTCACCATTTTTATAATGTTTGAATTTGGCTCGTTGTTCATCGCTATAGTAACATTTATTCCACCATGTCTCTACTTCACGACGCATCGCCTCCACGAATCTTTGAATGTTCTGCAACTTAAGCTCTTCCAAACGAGTGACCTCCTCCCTCAACTGAAAATAGACCACATGTTTGACATACATTTTGGAGTACTAGTTATTTAATTTAGAAATGAACAAACCAAGCACCTGATAACAATGAAATCAGGGTCATTGACATTCAAATCAGACCACCTTTTATATATCAACTGTATGGTTATCTTTGCGACAGTAGAGTCAACTTACAGCAGTGATAGTCTTAGGTTTGAATCCTGCATGCTCCGACAAGAACTTAGCTCTCTCAGCCCCCTCTACTTCTAGTCTGTCCCACAGTAACGTCACTCGTTCCCTCAGCTGGTTGGCCGTACTGAAGTTCTGCTGTTGTCGAACTTCCAGCTGAAAGACATTTTGTACAAAATATATGTCTGCATTTTTGACAAAGTGGGCTCATTGGATTAATTATTTAATTTATTTTTCAACTTTTTAATTTTTGCCTCTGTCAATGGAGTACCAGGTACAAGAAAAAAGATATTTTAATGGTAGCTCATAGATGGACACTTTGGGAATCATGAGCATTTAGATATGTGTCTAGCTTTCAAAAATTTTCTAGAGTCAGAATATGTAATTCGAGAAGCTTGCTTCCAACCTGTCACAAAAGAATTCAGAAATATTGAGCAAAAAACTCATCAATATTGCATAGAACTCACTAATAACCTGTGACATAAATTCAAAAAAAACACATAAATTCACCAATATTGTATGGTAAGAACTCACCTCCTCATGAAGTGTCTTGAGCGCTTTCATGTTCTCAGATGACAGTAGGAATGTGTCATCTTCCTCACATATGATGTCTCTCTCAAAGTCTGTGCTGGGCAACTGGTCCAAAGCCTCCATCATCTTTACAATAGACTTCTTTTGAGTGCCAAATATGGTCGCTCGTCTTTCCTGGTTATTAAATAATATATGAGATGTTTCATTAGAATTTTTGACAACAGGCAAACAAATGAAAACAAGTGCAATATTCCTCAAAACATCTATAGGACATTTTGATAAAACCAACCAAAGAAAACTGCTTGCTGTTCATGAAATCCTTTGATCATATAAACATAAAACTTGAGCACTTCATTTAATATAAGGACTTCATGTAACAGGGACCTCTATCTTGTTACTTAGCTTAAACATATGTACTCTTAAATCTAAGCTTCATATTATGATGCAGATGTTTTTTAACAATTACGTAATGAGTGATCAATTATATAAGATTTACCTGAATTACATAATTTGCATGTTACACATTCATGAATTTGAAATATTTCTGATTTGCAGGTGATTTTTGTTTCAACACCAGGAGAAATAGACAGACTGATTTAAATCTTTCACCTTGAGTAACTTAAATTTGAATATCAAAAATCAAGTTTTAACTGACCTTTTCAGTGGTTAAAGTTGTGATGTGTTCTTCTAGTGTCTTTATCTGTTCCTGACTGGGTACTGTTCCAGTGGGGATGTAATATGGAGTGGTGCAAAGAGCGTCACAGAGGGCCTGATCGGTTTCTTTCAGTTTTTTCAATATTTTCATGCGTTCATGTTTCATTTTAGATAGATTGTCAACCCTGGTTCTGAGGTCTTTTTCCAACTGAAGTATTGTTAGGGTTTTCTTTGGCTAGAAAATGAAATCACAAACAGTTACAGCTCCAACATGTGATATATTTTCAACAGAAGTTACAGAATTAGATCAAGTCAAATTAACATTGTATCTGTATCTGGTAAAAAACAAACCAACCAATGTAAACTCAGAAAAGTCAGACAGCTTGAAAATAATTTTAGATTTAATCTTAATCCGACTGATTTTAAAACTTAATATATAAGAGCCTACAAGAAAGGGGACCAAAAAAGGAATTTGAATAGATTGTCTTGATTGAACCTACTTCAACTGAAGGTATATTCAGTTCTTTATGCAAAGTAACAAGTTCCTCCCCATAAGTCTCAACATTCTGAAGCAAATTCTTCTTTAGTCCTTCTTCCTCTTTGACCATCTCTTCAAGCAAGTTCTTCAAATGCAGCAAAACCACCTCTGCTCTCTCCTTTCTCTGGTCTTGGCATATTCCAATATCATCCCATATCTTTGTTAGTTTGCCCATAGCAAAGTCCAAGCATTGCACTATGTGTTCTTTCATCTTTCCTCCTTGTGAGCTCATTATTTTCTGAAAGAAATCAAACATGGCGATTAATTTCTGAAACTAGCTGAGTGGCATACACCTCTCCAAATTCATTTTCCTTGGATTACAATTAGGCACTCTGGTGCAGCTATGTAATGGTCGCCAGGACCCAGTATTATATAAAAAAATCAGCGATCATCTCATTATATTATCCTATTAACTTTGAAGTCTGGCAGAAAATCGAGAATACCCCTTCCCCGAAAAAATTATGCTAATTAAATTCAGTATTGTACACATTTTCTGTGAGGTTGATCTTAATATTTTAAGAGCTGTCTGGGTTGTTAAATAGAATTTCAATTTGACAACTACGTGCAATGTTGACACAAGCCCTTTTGTGAATGTTTTTCAACATAGCCAACAATACATGTACATGGCATTACGAACGAATAAACAGATATCTCAGTTTTCAATCATGATTTTAAAACGTCTGTCATGAGATGAGAGTCAGATTAATGTCTTTGTTTATAACAATGAAATCATTTTAGTCTGTGAAAATATAAACAAATGTCTGATTAAAAACTTACTTGCAAGCAGCCGGTCGAGGTAACCCGACCTACCTCAATAATGATATAATCACGCGTGAATCATCGACAATATCCCAAATCTACCAAATACCCGGATGAGATTTTGTTAATATATTTTGTTTCATCATAGGCTACACTTAAGTATGGTTGTTGAATTGTCAAGGTTTATCTGTGGGATAAGTCAGCGATATTGGTTATGATCTGACCAAATTATAGTGTAATTAATAGAAATATGAAATTATATATTTTGAGATCATTTGCATGTTGTTATTATCACTGTTTAGTGTGACATTTGATTTCAACAGTGCAATACAAAATTGATTTTATGGATTTCAATTACGAGTTTCAGGAATTTCCAGGTTCAGATATTTATTGATATTTTCACCAAAATCATATAATTTGCTTGACAAAGAAAAGTGAAAAAGTAGTTTAGTTGACTGACTAAAATGACATTAATAAAATGAGTAAAAGCAACCAGGTACCGACTGCACCAATGAAAAGTGTGATAAATACACAGCACTCAGTCAAAAACCATCCTTTCTGTTTCAAGAGAATCGAAATACAGGTTACAGGATACTTGCAAGTTGCAACGGGACGCTGTCATTTGTAATCTGCAAACTTTATAACCTGTGGGTATTGTCAAGTAGAGTATTCTCTTGCGTATTTTAAACGATTCTTAGCTAGCTAATTACTAGTAATACTATTACAGTATTGTATATATACACACTCATTCACAAAATAAATAAGTCATATATATCCATTTTAAGCTTTCTTTTTCTTCTTCCAAGGCGATTGCACATTGTGTATATGGTGCTAAAGAATCTATATGTAGGTAGGCCCTCGAATTATGCTAAATGATACCCCAAGAGAAGAGACTTCAAAACATTTTGAGCATATTAGATACATCTTGAAAGGGATTTTACAACTATTCAGAACTTATAGGCTAATGATAGACTAGAATACAGGAGTAAAACATGGTGGTTCCAGGTATACGCCACATACCAAACCTGAAACTCTGTTCAATAATGAACATTTTACGCACATAGGGTAAATATTAGAAGACACAGTTACTAAAATCTTAATTAAACATGCTGATTGAACAATGAAGCAGAATATTTCTAACACAGTCAACAAAATAAGACGAATGAAAAGAAGGATTCATGTGTCAAAAAAGTAACGTCAGCTTGAGAGACCCCAAGACTACATGTCATTGAAATGTGAATGAAGAACAAAGTTATGTTTGAACTAACATGGTCTAAAATATGGGTGAACATGGCTACGTTAATTAATGTAATATACTAAGGATGCCATTTAAATCGACAAACGTTGACCTAGCACCACATGAACCTAAAAAAATTCAAAAAAAAATCCGAAAAAAATATTGTCGTGTTTACATTCATCTTTCTAGAGATTTGACAAAGAATCCACAGCTCATTTGCGAACAAAATATACTCTGTTAATACTTACATATAATTTTTAATTCATCGAGACAAGAACAACGCTGAATAAGTGAATAATCCAACTTTATTTCCCTCGCTGATCGATTCCTGTTTTGAGTTTGAATCCTTCTATATTTTCCGACGTTTTGATTGGTCTATTTGATTTTCAATCCCGACATGCTTTGTACTCACTACACTAAACGAAACAAAACAACTTTATCCCGGTTCAATATTTTGTTGATAAAAGTAACAGTACTTGCCTAACGTATCAGATTTTCATTGGAAAATATAAAGAAATTCATTAGAAACCATAAATAGTGCATTATTTATTTGGCATCAACACAGATGTGTAATTCCCGGGAAACGTCAAGTGCATGTACCTCCATTTCGGAGAGTCAAAGAAACTGCAAATGGTGAGATTGTCATTTTCTTTATAGTGAAAGCCCATATAAAGTTCAGGGACGTAGTATAGCCAGCTTTCAGGCAGTGGGGGGATGCGATCGCCAAAAGATTTTGGGTTTCAGTCAGGGGGGGGGGGTGCGATTGTGGCATAAAAAAATGAAGATTTTATCTCAAGTTGAATTTTACAAAAATTGATGAACTTCAGACTTGAACTTGCTTCAAAATTGAGCTAAAGTGGAGGACAAAAATAAACCTCAATCATCAAAAGTTGTCACAATGAGCTAAATTCTAAGTTTCGTGTCTCAAACTCTCCCAAGCGGTAGAAAAATAATTCCCGTTCACTTTAGTACTACTAAAGTGAACGGGAATTATTTACTAAGAAATTCTCCATCTAAAATGTCACTCGACTTTTTTGTGATTATGAGTCAAAGAAAGCATTCTTGAGTTTCAAATTGACTTCTGTGGTAACTTGAAACCATCTTCTAATTTATTCCACTTACCTTTTATTGTTTCTCCTGAAATATATTCTTTGAAAATCGGATTTTAAGGGTGTTAATCAGGGTAATTCTGTGCCATTTTATCAAAAATCTTGTTGCTATCTAGAAACGAGCAATTGTGATCTTGTTGTTACCTAGGAATGAGCAACTGTGATGTCACGTCACACTCATGTTATTGATGATTTGCGATCACCGAATGGATTCTGTCTTTTAGTGACGTCACAATTAGGTCACCCAGCTTTAGATGCTTGATTTTGAGAGATTATCTTCTATATTTCGTGCTTTATTGATTTATTTTTCACGAAAGCGTTCTATTTGACTAGATCAACATTCATGCTAAGCACATACCAAGTCTAAGGTCTTACTGACATGATTTAGATAGCGGTTTAGCTCCCCCCGATTTTGACAAAAACGGGGGGCGCTTATAGGCATCGATGTTTAGTATGAATTTCACCCAAACTTCGCATATATATAGACATACTCATGATCTAGTCAAATCGGCATACCTGGTAAATATCCGACCCATGGTTTTTATATAAGAAACGACAATATTTTTAGCTCAAAACTGCCACGTGTCCGCCATTTCGTGATTCCATCATGTCTAATATCATTTCTATATGACATCATACCAATAAGACGAAATAAGTGACAACAGTATCCATAAACAAAATTCCTGAATTCTGATCGCAAAAGGTCAATTCTGGAATCACATGGCAGCCATTTTGGAAATTTCAAAAAAGTTCCCAATTAAAAAGGCTAAATGCTGTTTACAAATTGGAAACTATGGCAGAATCAACAAAGGGTTTGTGAAATAATTAGGATATGGTTTCAAAATTATGCACATGACAATATATGACTACTAAATGCAGGGAGGGACTTTTAATTGCCAAAAAGTCGAGTGACATTTTAGATGGAGAAAAACTTAATAGTAGCACAATAAATGAATCCAAAGCTTCATACCTGGAAATGATGGCTAAATCCCTACCAAATAAAACGAATGTTTTCATGAATCGCCATCCAAGGAGGATTACTCCCAGAATGCAACATTAGTTAACCTTATTTACTCGTGACAGGTTTCAAAATGGCGAAACGGCATTTTGAAAGCTGGCACGTGTCATGTTGCATTCTGGGAGCCAATCTCCCTTGCGACGTAATCGGCCCCAAAATCACCTCAACATTTGAAGAGTCGGCATAACATGTGAATATAAATTTTTTCGAAACGAATGCGTGATATATATACATATTTTGTACAAAGACATGCAAAGACCGAACGGAATGCGTTCGCTTTTTTTCGCCATTCGGTATTTTACCGTGTCGGCATTTCACAGAAAACGATTTTTAAAAATATCAACAAAATGCGTGATTTGCATGATATTTGATCATACACGCTAAATTGATGCGTGATTTCTATTTTTCCAGCAAATGCGTGACAATCGCGCCTAATGCATGAGGGTTGACAGGGCAGATTTTGACTTACTAGGACGGAGAAAATAGAGCACTGAATACACTGAGGTAAGAATTTATTACATTTGCAGGCCTGTCAACTTGGGAACACATGTGCGTGACATATTCTGTCAAGCAAAAAAAACTGGCGTGACTTCAAATTTTCCAGCAAATGTGTGACAAATACGGAAATTGCGGGACAGTTGGACGGCCTGCATTTGCGACAGCATGTAATTTTCATAGCTATAGTGTTCACCACTGTAGCTAGAAGCTTCAAATAAAAAGCATTTTAAACCTATTTTCTTGTTCTTTCTCACGGTTATATGTTTATTGGTTATGGGAGGGGGGGGGGGCGCCACTCAACTACACCTATGAAGATGATATTTTTCACACGCCAATCGATATTCTCAAATATTTCATCAAGTTGCTTTAGAGTATTCGTCTGGAAAGCGATCTTCTTCTAAATTGAAAGCCAGGGGTCCCCCTTCATCCCTCATCCCCAAGTTGGGTGCATTTATCCCGTATCAGGATAATAGAGGCCTGTAAACTTGGGATTAGTGACTTACAAATGTTTAACACCTTCTTTCAAATTGTGAACATCTTGGCCCCTTGTTGGGACTGAGGTGGGACGAGTAAATGTGTAACATATAGTGTATGCAATTCGTTACTTTATTTGCACAATGCACAAACCCGTCTCTAAAGATGGCTTTGTGCAAATAAAGTAAGCAATTCGCGTGACTATTTGAACGAATTGGATTCGATTTTTTCAGTGTTCATTTTTTATGTTTCGGTGTTCGTTTTATATGTTATTTTCCGTAAATATATTTGCTTGACAATAAAGATAAAATGTGTATTTGCTTGATAAAAAAAAACAAATGCCAAAACTTGAAAAATGAACACTGAAAAAAAGGAACACAGTTCATTCAGAATTTTCACGTGAATTTCTTTTTTTTGCTGTTATCTAATTTATGTTTATACCTTATATATCATGAATATCAATTCTGAAACCATCGAATATCAATTCTGAAACCATCGAATATCACTTTTTATGTCACCACCAAAAATCTGTGACATATCTTTATGGTCTCTGTTTTTTGTGGCGATGGTTGGTGGTTGGCAATTGGCAGGTGGTGGTTGGTTGTTGGCGATCGACAGGTGGCGGTTGGCGTCTGTAACAAATTTTTAAAACTTCCAATAACTTTAACAAATACTGTTTAGACTGACTTCAATTTTTTTCAAAATCATCATCTTAGAAGTTCAAATCAATATATTCTGTTTTGAGACATGGTTAACCTCTTTAAAGGAAAACAGGATTTAAGCAGGGGTTTTAAAAATATCAATTATCGGTGACCAAAATTAAGCTGAAATAAAGGATCGCATGAGTTTTCCCTATGGGAAAATAATATGGGGAAGTATTGTTTTCTCCTTTATCCCAATTGAATCCACTTTTCCTTTTAAGAGGTTAACTGTGTCTCAAAATGCAACATATTATCAAGCATTGAAAAAATGGGGGTGGAAATGTTGTCTTGAAAATCAGGATGCTTTAGACATAAGCCCCACAGATTAAAGTCTGGTGAGTATGGTACATTTAGGCATTTGGAGCATGTTTTGTAAAGGGCCATTAAATCATGACCATTAACTATAGACCATTGAAATTGGATAGAAAGAAAGAACATTGAACAAGGTTTAACTTTGCCTAATATGACTCTAAACCAATGGTGAATGACTGAGTTATTCACATACATTTGTTTGGTTTACCTTTTGGCTCACCCTGTACGTTAGATAGAAATCAAGCTTTTGGAAAGGATATTTACAGTAGATCTTGTTTTATTTTGAGATGATGCCTTCTACATTTGTTTCTTCACCTGAGCTAACATCTGTGGAAACTGCATGTATTTCTGACAGACTGACCCTGATCTGGTTGTAGATGTATGTATGTTACATACATTTACCCATTTTACTACCAGATAAGATAACAGTGTATTGTACTACTAGACTAAAACCTCATTTCCCTTACTTCATACCAGAGCTTTATTTGTGTAATTCAGTGAATTAACTAACATGTTCTCACTGGTTTGATTTTTGATCATTGAGTTAACTTTAATAAACTACTACATGTAGTCACACCGGAATAGCCTGACAACGGTAAAGTCAGATACCGTTGTCACAAATGGCGAACATAACCGTTGCTTCAACTCTTTAATCACTTGGTCCTCATTTCATGGGACTTTATCGTCGCTAATTCTGTGCATATATTAAGCTCGTGTGATGACGTATTGTATGAAATCCCAATTTCTATTAAATCTGAATTTGAAATAATTTACAAAGACAACGGCATATGGTAAGATGTGACAACGGACTATGGTGAATGTATTGTATTGGAACATAGGAAAGTGACAACGGTAAATAGATGGTTTACCGTTGTCTTTCCATATACCATAATCAAATATTACCATTGTCCGACCTGGATTTTACATCACATTTGACCCACACCTACCATTGTCATTTATACAGTATCTATTGTCCTGTGTCATATTCCGATCGGTAAAATTAAAGCCTTTATTTCGATGGTAGAACATATTTAACTATATGATCAGTAGAAAAACACTGAGTGATTGCAGTTTCATGAAAAACTAATTGAAGCAAAAGGCTATTCCAATGTGGTAGTGTCAAGTTTTTGATACACTAATGCCCCTAATTGTCAGAACAGGCCTAGATGTTTTATCATAAATAGTAGGCCAAAAATTAGTTTATTCATTCCAAAAGGTTCTAAACTCCATAATCTCAAAAATACCATTTTGCATTATTTTTGTTTTTCTATACTTCAGAATAAAGCAAGAAATCTGGGTGGCCAACTGACAAAGAATTGGAGGGGATTGACCAAAGGCTTAGGTATTGCAGCGCCATCTTGGTGATGAAATGATGTTTTGTAGCATGACCTCCACATAATGCACCATCCATTCATGGTTTCATTGACAAGGTGCTAAACAGGGATGCACCAACCTGCAGGTGGGATGCCTCATAATTAATTACATCAGACCTAACATAAATGAGCTGATAGTAGGCTAACAGCATTTACCCTATCCGCCATTCCGTCTGCTGACAGTCCTGCCTATTTCTTGCCATTTCTCTCGAAAATTTGAATAAAGTACCAGATTTTTTTGCATTTTTATTCAATTTAGAATGTTCATTCCATGTTTGTTTACTTTATTCCTTGCTATTTCCACTCTAATCTACTATATTTACATTTTAAAACATGACCCACCATAACATTTTACTCAGGGGTAAACCTGTAGGTCCTAGCTTTAAATATCTTATGCTAATCTATGGGCCAGGTTGGTAAGGTCTTTAGGTTCATTGGTTGCATCCATAATGAGTAATTCTCTATAAGGTAAGATCCCGGCTAGTGATGCATTAATACACACTGCATTGATCGCTTGCTTGCCAAGAACTCACAAGCTTCTGATCCTATGAAACCACACACCCCAAAACACCATGGCAACTGGGTTTCACTGGTGTAACATAGAGGATGTTGAATTTGTTTTAGTTTTTCATTTATATTGCTAATGAAAAGGTAGATCATGATTTGTAGTTTTTTTGTGATCGCAATGAACACATGATTATTTGTATACTTGGAATTTTGCTTGTTAGCAGCCGGTTAAAGTATGTACTGTTCCCTAGCAACAAGTCATCCTTTTATCATAGATTATCTGTTTTAGTAATAGGCATTTTGAGATTAAGTGATGACTAGGATTTTACTTGCAAAACAAGATGAAAACCAATAGCTTGAAATCACTGGCATGATGTAATATATGCATAAATAAGGCTTCATTTACAAATAAGAGATATAAAATATTATCCTTTATAGATTCCCAAGGAAAACATTCTTAGGAACTTAGATAGATTCCCATGTATAGAAAGTGCCAAAATCGATTATAATTTTACTCATAACCTACTTTTATTCACTTAACATATCAAAACAGCCATAGTAAACATTACAAAATTTGTGAAAAATGCATGTGAGCATATGATTATATTTTCAGCTTAATCCAAGATAAACCCCAAAGCCATGACATCACATCTTTATGAATATTAATCAGCTTAGAGTGGGCTACCTTATACAGAATGTGGGCTAAAGCTGTAATATATGCCGGAATCTGATTGGCCCGTTGGCTCCCAGTCTACAATCAGGCTAGTGTCAAGTTTCTGACTAGGACCTTCTCTCTCTTCAGTAGAACCTCAGTGTGTGCAGAAAAGCCAGTTCACTTCTAAGCAGGTTTCCCGTATCCATTCCATACATGTAAGTACTATTTTATATATTATTCATTTTTCATAAAGATTATAAAGTTAGTAAAGTTTTGTATGTAAAGATTTGTTGGGTTAAATGTGTATTTTACATGCATGAATGCTCAATACAGGTAGACCTATGGAGTATTTTATCATCCGTATTGGAAAGGTTACCATTTGGAAAAAGGAAATCTACAAGTTTTAAAGTAACATCCTACGGATTTCAAAAAGTAATCCAGTTTTGTAGAGGATATATTGAATTCAAAGTGGAAACTATTTGAAATGTGAGGAAGCAGGCAAAAATTTGGACGGAGATAGTGGAAGTAAAAAATGAGACCATAATTATGCAGGAATGTTGTAACTAACCGCAGATGTTAAAATAGTTTCCTACTGGTATACAAAACTCAACAAAATGGTCAAATGTGTATTATATAAATGTATTGGATTTCTATAATTTCTCTCCAAAAATTGGAAAAATCAGACGTTTTTAGGGCAAAATTCTAAAAATATAATTCTAGGAAATGGTAGCCATCTTGAAATTTTTAAATGGCCTGACGTCACAAATATGGCTACTGACGGATGAATAACCTTTAGAGATAATTACTATCCCTGTTTATGGCCGACATGATAATTAACTTCCTCTCTGCTTCTTTGACCTGATGTTTCTCAGATCTAGTTCACAAAGCAAAATTTTCTATCAATTTATTCTATATTTTACTTAATCATTGATTCATTAGAATTATATTTTATTTATGGCATTGCTGTGACCTTGCTTACCTGTGGCCGCCATATTGGATTTCTATTCAATCACCTTTATCTATTTTACTTCAAATTATTCTGGATATTTCTCCATGCATGGATTTGATAATTTTTGATTTTGTATTTTTTCGATTTTAGGTTTTTTACACTCATAATTACATTGTAGCATTGGCCTTAAATTCTTAGGAAACATATTCGCAAATAAAATTCTGGAATAGAGCTACATTGGCCATTTACCCTGCATGCAGAGTCTAGTTAAACTACACTCTGCCTAGTAGAGACCATATTACAGTTTAGTAGCCCCGCCCCCACGACGGGTACCGGTGACAGTTTGGGTAAATCACTTTTGACCTACGCGCTGACCTTCCACCAATCAGCGAGCTTGAAGAAACATACGCCAAATGCGTTCTAATTAAATATACGCATGTCATTGGTCAATTCCGGGCTCAACGATGACGTCAGAAGGAATGACCATATAAAGAACGTCGGTCAAATTTGGCCGACGAACACTGATTGGCGCGGTGAGTTCACAGGTTTATTTTAGTTTGAAAGAGTGAAGACGAAGCTCTCTTTTAAGAAGTGAAGTCAAACGAATGCAAAGGGTATTGGCCATTATTCCTTGCACTTAAAATTGGTCCTTTATCAAACCCTTGTATCCTCTTCTTCATATACAACTTCTTGAAAGGACTTGGGCTGATGGGGGGGGGGGGGGATGGATAAAGTATACTCAACTTCATATCTCTACTTTATTTGGTTCATATTTGGTTCATATCTGGTTCATATTTGGTTCATATTTAGTTCATCAATGCTTCAATCACAACATGTACATGTTTCTTCACAAGTTTTTTGATTCTGCATTTAAGATATTATTTGACCTCACCATGGGTTTTCAACTCTAATTGAAAGCCCATGACCTCACAAAGCGTTTCTGACTATTTGATAGATTTCCTCTATTACAGTAACACTTTGAAATTCTAACTTTTGATTTCCGATAAGTAGATTTGTTTTGTTAAATATTTATTGTGAATTATGTTATAGTTAAGGATAATCTTCAAAGATTAATGATTGAAATTGAAATGGTAATGTTCTTGTTATGAAACATTTATTAGCAGAAGGGGGAAGGGGGGGGGGGGTGTTGGATTGGAGGATGTGTGGGGAGGGGGGGGGGTAGGTGGCAATAATTCAGTAATGAATCTATAAACTTGATTAACTCTAACATATTTTTCAAACAATCAATCAATTAATCAACGATGTTCTGCATTCTTATTAATCTTTAGGCCTGTTAATCAAATATTATACTCACTTATCAATTTGATTTTCAAACTACATATCCTGGTAATCTGGGCTATGTACTTCCAATAGGATTATTACACCATTACAACACTGAATAAAGCTTTATCGGGTCTGACAACTGAAGGATGGGGGGGATATGGATTATATCCAGCAATAGGATTATCTATAAATACTTAATACAGAGTGTATCAAAATACAAAAATCAGAACTTCCATGTGTTGTGATCGATCAGCGTGATGGTACTATTGGGTACATTCTCGGAAACATAAACCATATTAGGTTACACGGGTACATCCAGCTCAGTTATGTACAACATACATGAGGTTTAGGCTCACTTAGCCAGGCATGGCATGTACTTTCTAAATGGGGTAGTCAGTAGTTATGGCACACAGCTGTGTAATATATCCATCACAGAGCTTATTTATCTTAGCCACCATCAGCTTGCTTACCTATATATAGTACATGATCATAATATGCTAGGTCTACAGTCAGCTCTTGTACATTTCACCTATATACAGTACATTGGGGAATATTGGGAAGGGGGGGGGGGTTGATATAAGATTTCATCATAACTTAATTAATCTACATTGGTTACATACTACCTAAAGACTACATTTTATTCAAATCAATCTTATGCATTCATTGGGGGGGAAGGGGGGGGGGGTATATCCATTTTTGTTCACAGATGGGTCATGCTTAATTGTATTCATTTATGATCATGTTAGTATGGAACATCATTTATGTGGTGCAACATTTGTTATTTCTTCAAAAAAGACTTTTAATGTGTACATACAGGTTTTTTGTACTGTGATTTTTAGGACAACTAACTTGATATGAGAACTTGATTCTGCTATATTGTGTTCACATTTACATTGGTTGTGCTACATTGTGTTTTCACAAGTAAATATTATGGGCTTAATGGGCTTTTAAACAGAAAAAATGAAGAAATCGGAATTTTGTTTCATATTGTTTTGAATCAGTTCGGCTGAGAAATTTGAACCATCTGTTTTCCTGCAAAACCATTGACACATGTGGGATTTCTATGACACCTCAGCTAAACCAGAGATTAACATACATTAGTATATTCATCCCAGGCCTATTTAATAGTATTTGACTATGGGGTTATGGGAGAGAGTGAGAGGATGAGGGATATGCATTTAATTAACACTTATCTAATATGTATATCTTTATGAAAATCTAAAGTTAATATTGTTACTGGTGGTTGCAATCTATGGCACAATCTGAACATAGCTACAGCTTCATGTAGTGTTTATAAAGAGGAAACAGTCTTGTGGAGGTCCAGAATAACAGAGTGGAAGTTACTAAGAAACCTGAGAGTTGGCGTTATATTTAGACTACCTGATAAAACTTACCAGATGCTTAGACTTATCTCTCTTTCTGCCTAACTTACCAAAATCCAATCAGGCCCGACATACACTGTATAGTATTTTTCCATAGATAGATCACTGCTCATTAAGCTACTGGCGAAATATGTAGAATTTATTTTTGGCCACAGAGCCTGTTGAGAAGAGTTCATTTTAACTGTTAGCCTCGGAAATTGTTACAATCCAGAAATAATCTTAAAAGTACCAAGATTTTGATTCAATTGTATCAGCAGTTTATTTTCCTCTTTAGTCAGCCTTTGGTAGCCCTAAATAAAAGGTGTTTTTGAAAAAGTTATTAGATTCCAGTAGAAACGTATATCTGTTACACCCCCCCCCCCCCATTTGGACCCCTCCCCTGCATTACCAGAAAAACATTTGAAGAACCTCTATTTTGCTATCTGAAAACCTTTAAATGAAAAATTTCTACATATATTAGTATCTGTTATGTCTTATCACTAAATTGTGTTTTCTTTCTTTTTCATATCTTCAACCAACTAACAGACAAAATGGCAGAAGAAGTAAGTACCTGTTTCTATAACAACCACTTGGTTACCATAGCAACCAATTAAAGTTGGATAAAATCCTATGGATTACAAAACCTTGGATTAACCACATTGATGGATAAGTGTAAAAGTTAATAAGTCATAAACTGTTCTTAATAGCCGAATCATGTGAAACTGGATACAGTTTAATTGGAGGAAGGATATCATTTGGATTCTATGGCTAAAGGAATTATTGTACATTGTATTGTATTTCAGGAAAAATAAATCACATATACCTCTGTATGGGAAAACCATTTTTGTCATGATTAAAAGATAAAGGCATTGTATTAAAAATGAAGTTTTAGATGTGGGTGAATGAAAATTAGTAAATGATATTTCTTTGCCACACAGAATCTTGGAAATAGTATAAAGTATATGTGATTTATTTTGAAACAATGCCCACTAGATATTTGTAATATGATGTGTAGAGTATATTTATTTTGTGAGAATTTCCTGTTTCCTGTTAATTTATTACTGTCTTGTTTTAAACGAATTCTAAAATCATTTCATCTAGTCATATTTGTTAAAGTTAAATGATATTTTTAATTGATATTGTTCATGCATTGATATTGTTGTCCAATACTGTATAGTAGCTAGATTATAAAGAAACACCGGTGACATCTTTATGAAATATACATTTGTTTTTATTTTTCATGGGTCCAACTTGCACCTCTCGAGACCTCATATCCTGAATAAAAGAAGAAACATGCCACAAGTCATATTTTATTAACCTAAAAGTCCAAATCGAATTCTGTATTAGGGGGGGGGGGGTAAAATCGTGGACATTTTATTTACTACATGGTCAAAATAGTAAGTTTGGCTCAATATAAAATGTACATAATCCTTTGCAAATAATTTCACTTTTGGACTCTCAAAGCTTTGTTCATAGAGTGTAGTATTCTACTTCTAGCCTTAAGATTTCAGGGTAAATATATGTTAATGTTATCCTCTTGTGTTATCCAATATTTCAGCTGGTCTATAACCTGCTATATTCATAACAGAAAGGATTTTGACTTTATATTTCCTCCATTTTATCTGTCTAGACAATTTTCTCATCAGGTTCTTATACAGCGGAAATAAGAACTGTTGCATTATGGGATAGACTACATCCTTTGCAAATTCCTCATGAGCAGATACTTGAGGGCAAACCATGATTCGGAGGAATGCTCTTATATCTGGTTGTTTCTGACATTTTTGTTGCCCTCACTTGTAGTTAGAACAGATGTACAAGATCCTAACCTGGTAATAAAAATAGAGCATAGTTGTTATTTCTTAGTCTTGCATCAGGGTCTTCATAAACCACTTATTCTACTTCACCTGAAGATACCTTATGAACATGTTACATTTGGTGGGGGGGGGGGGGGCTCACATGAAGCAAGGCTATTACATGTATGTTATTCTTAAATTTAATTGGTGATGTAATTTCTAATTGGTAACCTTTTCATATGGTTCATTATTTTGCTAGAGGACCATATTATTGAATTTACATAATTGTTATCCCCAATGACCATTTTAGCTTAAACTGACTGTTCACACTGACACATATCTTGTGTGTAATAATTGATTTCCAGAACTTCTCATTTACCCAAATCTTAAATCTAGCAATAGATATCAAATCAACTGAGTCGACATAAAGCTTGAAACAAACTTATATAATGGCTGACCCTGTCATCTCATCTCAATTTATTCCATGCTTGATTAGATTATGTGACTTTTGTTTGATGAAATTAAAGCCTTTTTTGTTCTCTCTGGCCTCTGGGAATTCTATGTTGATCCCATTGTTTACATGGGAGAAAGATTAATGGCTGATTTTGCAATCAGCGTACCTTGAAATACTAAAGATGTTCTTTGATTCTACTAATTTATCCTTTTGTTTGTTTATCTAATTTTTCAATGATTTGGTCGTGGAAATGTCTGAATTTGATAGTGAATGAGCCGAACCAGAGAACGTTTTGTTTCAATCCTGGGTTCGATTTAAAATTGGATGAAATGTCGGATGAAAAGGTACCTCTCGCTGCTCAGGAAGAATTTCCCGAACTTGTTGAAAAATGGAAGGATTTTGTCGTTAAGGTAGAAAATTAAAGGATTTTTGTAATTAGGGAGATGGTAAGATGTATTTTGAAATGGTTTTGACAGAGTATTTGGAAAATTTCTTAAGTTGGTTACAACAATAATCAAGGCTACTATACAGTATTGTTAATTTGTATTGTTTATGGGTGTTTATTGTTTATGAAGATGTATGCTTTGTTATGTACAGTGTATTGTTTAAACATGTTTTCAGGATTAATAAACAATCAGTTTTTAGGACTATTCATCAACATTTATGGATTCAAATAATCTCAAAGGTAAGTCTTGTAACAGTAACCGTAGCAACTAAAGCACAATTTTATATTTTTTTCAAAGATAAAGTGCCTTAAAACATTGTATTTTCATCTGATCAATATATCACTTTGGCCCTTGTCAGATTTGTTCCAGCAGACAATCTGCAATGCATTATTGGTAATCTTCAAATCTATGTTAAGATGGGATTTAAATTCCTTCATGAAAGCAGTACTTAGCCTGTTTTCCCTAATGTTTTGCCTAAACCAGTCAAAGTTGATAAATCAGATTATTTTTGCATTAATGCAAGTTCATATTCAGTGAAATAATATAATGTTGTCTGATTTAGTTAAAATTCTATTTTATCATATAGTACTTAAATGTATATTTAAAGTACCCTGTGCCAAATAAATGTAAAAGTTCTGCATTTATTGCAGGAACCCTTCTCTCATTTTCTTCAGTCACAGCTTAACATAATTATTGGGCCTTAACTTTGAAAAAAGCTTTTTCAAAAGGTTTTATTTGCGTTAAGTCTTAAAATCTATTCAAATATTCTATGCAGCCCTAGTGTAAATCTTCATGATTCTTAACCTTTATGTCCGGTAATAATACATTTGGTATTTATTTAATTACTTTACTTGCTTGCCTATAAAGTGTTTAGGTTGTGCAAATCACCCGCTTTGGCATTTTGCAGCTATAAACATGGTTGTTTGAACAACTGTAAATCTATTTATCTTCATTATACTTATTTGCAATTTTTTCTACCCTAATTAATAATCATTACATAAATTCTAAAATATAAAAATATACTCCAGATATTTTTCTGCCATTTATCGAATATGAATTTTTTTTGTTTTTACATGTTTAAAATCTGAGGATTAGAGTCAGGGGTAGAGAGATGGGGGAGGGGGTGTATTTCCACCATCTGTTTTCCAAATACATTAAAAGATCAAACACCCCAGATCTTAAGTACATTTACTATTGATAAAGCAAGCCACTCCATGTATCCCATTTGTATATAGCACCCCTCAATATAAAACTTAACCTAACTCAAGTATGGCCTGATAAATTCCTCAGTTTTATATAATGCTCAGTAATATAGAATGCCTATAAATTATTTCAATATTTAAAGGCTGTTCCTCCGAGGCTCATCTTATATGGAAAAGAATTCTTAAATTCATTTCATAAATCACTAAAAATACTATATGCAACATTGGATGATTTACTGTATTCGAGTTGTGCATTGTATGCACAGCCATTTGGGCACATAATAGGTTCATACCATATTTGGAAGTAAGCCATACATACCTATTATTGGCATATAGGTTGTGTGTGAAGCTCAATCACTTCAGGAATTTTAAGGGTCTTGTGCTGCATATAGGACTAGCGTCCCAGCTTAAACTAGATTTTTTTCATATTCAACATCTAATCAGAAAAAGATGGTAAGTACAGTATATACATCAGTAATAGGTGTCTCATGCATAGTTTTGTAGATATAATATTTACGAAAATGTCATTAGTTAATTAAGAAAAATACAAGGGTAAAACTGTCAAAATTTAAGTGTTGTGTCAAAGGGTAGGGGGAGGGGGGGGGGTAAATGGTTGTGTGGAGATGTTTGTGTTTTACATGAAATGCTTGCTTGATTAATTTTGATCAGAATGAGAATTTTGAAATATTTATCTGTCAAAAATTGTTCCATATTTTATATCTGTATTCTTATCAACACACTGACTTCTTTGAATATGGGAGTCTAACCTCAAGAAGTAATGCTTACAGTTTCTTGAACTGGAAGAAGAAAGGTGGTGTAAAACACAGATATAAATAAGATTCGGCATATAAAAAAGGTTTATATATCTGGTTATCAGTATGTATCATGAGGTTTTGGGAATGAGAAATCTTATCAAGATGGCTAGGTCAGTTGGATCAAAGGGAAATGTTTACAAAGTCTGTACATACCAAGCTTATCCAAATGTATACATGACAAAACATTTAATGTGCTATGTTTCATGGTCCATAAACTTTCATATCATGCAACATAAACTATTTCATGACAAGGTGCAATTAAAAGCTGAATCTGAATTTGGGCTCATATGATTAATTAGAACCTGTCGATTAATTAGAACCTGTACTTAAGTTGCCAATTGTTATTTAAGATGGACGGGAAGCTTTAATTTATGCATGTCCAACTTAAGACTTAAAATAAGACCTTTAATTGCCAGCACGCACTTTATTCATATCAACAATATTTGGCATGTGTATTTGATGGAGTAATAACCCATGACAGTTATACTATAGTTGTTTTAAATGTTAAACGCCGGGATCAGTTAAAATGACAATTCCCAAAGATTTAACTTTGAGGCTTGTAGAATGAAAGTGGTTATTCTAGGTGAATGAGAGTACGGCATACATTTGTATGTTTGTTCATTGGATGTTTGCTTTACTCGACTCATGTTTGATCGCATTATTTGAAAAAGAACTTCATGAGTATACACATATACTTACCTCAAAGCAAAGCAACCAGACCAACTGCGATACATGTAATATCTTCGCCATCAGTTATACTAACACCCAAAATGTTACACCTTATGAGATTTAATAACTAAACCAAATAAATGATCTCATTTCGCATAATGATGTTTATTTAAAGTGTTATTAGTTTGGAAGCTAAAGAAAATTCCAGTCCAATTCAAAATGGACTGTATCAATGCTGTGTCAGTTAATGATGTTATAAAGTTCTGTTCTTTTCCATGACATGCCCAGGTGAAGTAATATAAATTTAAACTTTAGCGTACCACTCTCCAACAAATTCTGATCTATATGTACTGGTGAAATTTTTCCTTTTTTAAGAGAAATACATAGTACTTTTTATCAAAAAGTCATTAGAACATGCAAGAGAGAACCACATTTGTACCCACATTTTAAAGTAATATGGTTAGACTATAGTCCATAAACTTTAAAAGTACAGTACACTGTATATTAAAATCCAAAAAGGCCAAAATTTAAATATGTAAAGTGGAAAGGGAATTTTTATGTTGCTATGGTTACTGTTACCAGGCTAGCCGTGCAACAAGAAGAGATAGGAAAGATGACGATCACAAGGAAACCAAGAAAGCTACCAGAGCTCCATCTAATGTGTTCGCCATGTTCCCGCAAGCCCAGATCCAAGAATTCAAGGAGGTAATATCCAACCATTTCTCACTTGACATTAATCATATTTGGAATTTTCTTTTTTTAGAAAAGCAAAAAGGGTAAAGGAGAGAGAGCCCAAAGAGCCACATCAAATGTATTCGCAATGTTTCCACAAGCACAGATCCAAGAATTTAAAGAGGTTGGCGTATATTTTGGTTACTATGGTGATATATAGCAGAGGCTCAGATGAGACTGAGGCTCTGGTAGCGACCTAGCTGTGCACGCTGCTGTCGGCATGAAAACTCCAGATTTTAGTTTAGTTACTCTTAGGTTTCTATCATTGTATTTTTGTAGAAGAAGAGCAAGGCTGGGTCTAATGTGTTTGCCATGTTCCCGCAAGCACAAATCCAGGAGTTCAAAGAGGTGGCGCCATCTTTCAACCTGTCATTAAGTCTGCATGATGAATACCTCCTTTGTTTTTCATTTTTTCCAATTTTGTTTTCACTCTTTGCATGTGTAGTTGATTAACCATCCCTGCTGATGTGGTATAATTGTTAAACCTTTTATTCAGTTCAACTTTCTATTACCCGATAAACATCTCACGTTTTATGCTAATTTTACTACTTTTTCGGGACAGACGATTAACAAAAGCCTTTGAGGTTGTTTTTAACTGTTAAACAGAACTGTTTTGAATATTTTTCCTGATATTGTTGAGTTACTACTTAAAACCCAATTTAAAACCCAACTTTGATGACCTCCTGTACCCATCTACATAAAAAGTTAATTACTTAAACCATTTTGTGATGTTGCATATTTTTAAATGCAATTCCTCAGTTAATTGTTAAAGTGTTGGTTTTGCACTGATACCATATAGCTTTTGCAGATTTACTAACAATTCCAGATTCTATCCAGGTTGTATTCTTTGTGCATGTACTGTACCTTAAAGGGTCTTGTCAATATAAATAACATTGTACAGTGTTATGTGGCCTAAGTAGGTGTCATCGGTATATTGAAAACAAGACCCTTTAAATTGAGTGATTTACTTGTTAAATACAGACCCAAAATCCCATGTTTGTCTAAGTGTACCATTATGAGTGATTTTGTGTATTATTGTACATTTTGGCATGAAATTGCTGAATTGAAGTCAACGAGTATATATACTTTATTAGTAAGAGTGTTTTTGGCTTATTGAGTAATCTAAATCTAGATAAAGCTTAAATGCAAAAATAGAGTTTTCTATTGGCTCCCGATTTGTTGCAAAGCAATATAGGTAATTGCAGTAATAGGTTGAGCAGTACACGTTAGATAAAGGTTTTAAGTATTTTTTTGGCTTTGAAGTTACATCACATTTTGTAAGCTGTGTTTGAAGTGTGCGAACTGTTTGGACTTGCTACACGATTAGTTATAAGTGATGGCTGAAAAAGTTTTTAGATCAAATATTGCAGGAAAAATAAGGCATATGTAAGAATTATTGGCTTTTATAAATACTCCAAATTTCCAACCCATCAAATATGAAATCACAGTTGCCTGATTGCCAATGGCAACCAATTTTCACTCTCGGCAATAGTCTTGGAAAAACTGGTTGCCTATTGGGCAATAGACTAAATGCCATTATAGTGAACTATTGCTGTCATGTTTTCAATATTAGTCTTGAACCTTATATAGTCCAAATTCAATGAATTTTAATCATTGAATCATTGGCTTTCAACTAGAAATTGAATCAAAAATCTTGAGAATAAAGTACAATTGGATTTAGAATAGCGTCACAACATCAAAAATGCAAAAATCCAAAGCATGCAAAAATACTTGTTTGTTTTTTTTGTTTGTTTTATCATTACTTGTTTGTTTGTAGGCTTTCACTCTCCTAGATGCCAACAGGGATGGCTTCATTGATGTCTCAGATCTTCAATGCATGTACGCCAATTTAGGTAAGAAAACTCAGAAAATATCATCTTTAAAGTGGATTTATTATTATTTGAATAACTTTATCTTCAATCCCAGTTATGACAGCCAATAATTCACATAATTCATTGATAATTATCACAAATAAAATTAAAATACAAATAAATTTGATGTAAAACACAATATTTTGATTACAATTTTAAACGATATATACATCATACATGTTAATAATCTTTTATTCCAGTTCATACGCCATGCTCATTTTTCTCTCATCTGATCACATATCCTCACGAAGCTTCATCAGTTCATTTATTTAGTTCATATTTATGCCTTATTCATAAGTACTTTCATTATGTTAGCATCTTTATCTTTTCTCCTCCCAGCTTGATGGCTTAGATTGCTTAAAATCTTATTTAATCGACTCATTGAAAACAAAATTATCAAATTTGGGTTTGGTTAATGTTATTGTGACATTCCCAAAGCCAAAGCCCTATAAACAATAGATAAATAAAAAACCATTGTGAACTATGCCCAGTGAGTGTGGGTGTGTTATTATCATTTGTGTTCATTCCATGCAGAGATCCTATCTGGTAGCATGTCAGATTAGAGATTAGGATATATACTGTATATAGGATGAAGTAATCCTAGCCTTTGCTTAAAATAACTAAGCTGAGAGATATGTTCATGCATATACTTGAATGCTGATAGCTAAGTCAGACTAACACAGGTGGATGGATACCACTCTCTGTGATCATGCTCTAGTGATGGGATCATGCAATGAAACAATATCTCAAACTTGTATCTTGTTAGCCTCACATTATTGTTTGATCATCAATTATTGCATTGATCATTGTTTTGATCATCAATTATTGCATTGATCATTGTTTTGATCATCAATTATTTGTCTTGATCATCTGATCGTTGTTTTGATCATCAGTTATTGTCTTGATCATCTGATCATTGTTATGATCATCAGTTGTTGACTTGATTATCTGATCGTTGTTTTGATCATCAATTATTGTCTCAATCATCTGACCATCGTTATGATCATCAGTTGTTGCCTTGATTATCTGATTGTATTGGTCATTGTTGGGATCAACAGATGTTGTTTTATTCCCATGATCATGACATGCACATATTTGGCTAGCTATCAAGTTTTCGTTCTATCATCCATTATCTGATAAAAATAAAGTTAGGAATTGTAAACATGTGCACATGGTTCAGTAAAGATGAATGAACAAGTAAATAACCGTGTACTTGGGTGAAATTGTCTATATGGGATCACCCATGAACCCATATAAGACTGTTACCCCCTCCCTCTTCAATACAAGGGGAGACATAGTCAGAGAACATAGATATGAAGGATATAGAGGGACCAAGGTCATATTGAAAAAACTCTTACCACATGTGGTAAATTGGCTCCAAGGGTGTACTATATTTTAGTATTTTGACATTACTGGATGAATTCACCTTATGGTGACACAATAAACCTTGTATTCAGTAGAGCATATTTTATGATCCTCTTAAGTCCCTAGGTGTATGTGACATCTACCATTTTATGATCTGACTAAAATTAATAGGTGCACCTACAATAAATGATGACTGACTTTTTTATCATTCCATTATTTATTAGGCAATCATTGATATAAACATTTATCATGCAATATGTCATCGTAATGTTAAGTGTTTTCATATTACATTTAACAATTTTTCATTTTATCACATCACATTGTTTCAAGTACATTCATTTTGTCAATAGAGGGCATCATTGAGGCTTAAGCAGACATATGTCTTTTTCCAAGCTTCTATTTTCCTTCCATTTATTCTTAAGACTACTATACTATACTATACTATTTTCTGCAGCTTTCTTTGTTCCACCCTGTATTTACCTTGTGTTATATGTGCTGGGAGCCTTGTATCTATAAGATACAGGGTGACCAGATTTAACTGTGCATACTTTGCTTTTACTTCACCTTCTTAAGCTGCCAATTTTAGGAATTGAACCCAAAATGTCAAACCTTGAGAGTATGGTGAAAGAAGCCACAGGGCCCCTTAACTTCACTATGTTTTTATCCTTAATGGGTGACAAACTGCACGGTAAGTCTATAGTATGATTGTAATGAGGCTATGGGGTCTCCCCGGCCAATCATATTTGCAGGGATTAGGAGACTTAAAAAACGTTACAGGAAAATATCTCCTAATACCAGGCAAACATGATCACTTATGTAAGGTTAAAGAACATGTTAAATTAAATCGTAAAATTTTCCAGGCTTGGAACCAAAAAAAGCTGATATTGAAGCTATGATAAAAGAATGCCCAGGTCAACTGAATTTCACTGCTTTCTTAACATTATTCGGTGAAAAAATGCATGGTAAGTAATGTGCCTCACTTTTCTACCAGAAGTGGCGCTGTAGTGGTGTGTTTTACCCCTGACACGGCACAACCTTGACCTTTCACACAAAGGTCATCTAGACAACTTCTTTTAACCCAGTGGTGGGCACTATATGTATGTCTTTCTATATTCAGCCATTCTCTCACAAATGTTCCAATATAAATAAATGTCAAAAAATGTCATAAAATTTAATATCTATCTTAAAGAAATTATGATTTCTCCCATGATTTTTCATTTGTCCAGAATTACTTATTTTCCCATTTTAAAGTGATCATTGTTATCCCACGATTTTTTGAACATATGTTATATAATTTGTTTTTGTGTGATAATTTGAGTTTTCATATGATCATTTATTTTCCAATGATCATTTCAATTCCTTGGATGATTTATTTTCTAAGGATCATTGAAATCATTTGTGACAAAATGGCTGATCTATGTACATGATGCAAAGATGACCAACGTCAATGAAACTTAGAAGACCCTTTGTCATGTGACCATGACGTCATTGTCAGTGGTCATCGTTGCACTCGATGTAATCTCTCTACAGCTCTGAAATTAAAGCATTAAAGCAAGTGGGCACAGCACCAATTTTGGACTGAATTGCGAAAATGAGAATTTTGCACCCACCTGACACAAAATCCTAGGGAGGCCACTGCAAGTTTGAAAAAAAACATATTCTTTTAAAATGGACGCTTTAACAAATTCAAAACTCAAAGGTATAGTTAACTAAGATCATGCTAAGATATAGCTCTGAGTATAGGGTGGGATAAAAAGAGTAAGATGTCCGCTTCTTAGCTAATATTTCAGAGCTGTATTTTATTTGTATAATCCCCGTCTTTATTTTAGTACCTCCCAAGTGCATCCAAGTATAGACACACAATTAAACACCTATTTATATGTGAATGAGAGTTCTAATCTGGACTCATATTACATGACTACAGTATGTGTCTACTGAAGTAGACACATATTGGTAAATGTGTCTCTATCTTTGATTCATTTGGATTTCTGATCTTATTTTAGACTTCTGTACTCCTAGCTGTGCCACTGTCACCAAGCCGTCTAATGATCCAAGCTGTCATTTCTGCAGCATCTATTAGAAGTACCTGATCTTCCCACTCTTTCATTGGTTCCTCATTCATCATAATTCATTATAGGGGTGTTAGGATAGTTTAAATTTTAGGCCATTCTATCACCCCTACTAATTAATGCTTCGGAGCATGGCTTAAGGTATCATCAAGAATTTTGCTAATACATGTAAACTAAAGGCCTACTCAATTTTCATTGACTGCCAGGTGCTTGCTAAAGAACTGCAAAAATTATGAGCTATATTTGATATTTTAAGTTTTCCATTCCTCGCTTCGCTATGTCACCTTCCCTCTTCACTGTTATTATTTTACACATCCTTTGCTTAAATTCCACAAACCCTTTATTTTGATAATAAAGACTACTTCGTCTTTGGATGGGGATTGAGTGTAGTCTTTATGGCTTTAAATTGATATATACTTTATTTTCAAACGGTCTTAAATCTTAACCCCATACCTTCGTTACCGCTTTTGTTTTTGTGTCTTCTTTATTAACGCTTTGTTTGTCTTTTACTCACCTATGTTCTCTTCTATTAAGGTAGGACAAGTGGAATGAAGTTTTATTCACTCTACTCTACCCACCTTAATAATATTACATATTGTGTTTTATGATCTTTTTTCTATAATTTAATCTATAATTTTTCTATATGAAAATATTTACTAAGTAAAACTAATTTATATTAAAATAATGCATTAAAATTTGTTTGTGAGAGAAAGCTGTTAGTTTAGTCATCATAATTTCCATAGAGATAATGAGAATGTCAGCTGATGCTATGGCAACGTCTACTTTTTATTTTAACATGATATTGTTTTGCTACATTTGATGATAATGCTATGTGTACATATTGACCTCAGCAGCTCTTAGGGATATTCTGTTTCAACATCTACTTAAAAATTGCCTAACCAATAATGAAAATATCATCAATTGCCCTTTAGAAACATCTTTTCTAACACAGGGACAAAAAAAATTCAAAACTTTTTGGACAACCCTTGCATGTAAAGTTTTCATGCTGGAAAAGAAAATATGTGCACTGTAAGATTAAAATGACTAAAAGAAACAGGACAATGATCTAAAGATATTTTGGAATGTTGGCTTGCATTTTTTAAGTAGATGAGTGGGACAATCATGAAATTGAAATCATGAATCTGAAATTAACATTGATATTTCAAGTATTATAGCTGCTCATGGCCTGTACAACAAGGTGCATGGTCTGTACAACAAGATGCATGGCCTGCACAATAAGATGCATGGCCTGCACAACAAGATGCATGGCATCTGGACGACAACTAGTGTAGTTAGAAATATTAAACCATTTTTTGTCATCACATAAATATGTGCCATGCTATATAGTTTCTCTATATAATATGGTCGACTGATGACAAAGATTGTCATGGTTTATTTCTGTATTTGAGTTTCTCGAATTTGCGAATCAATTTGAATGTGGAAAGCTATTAATTACAACATAAAGTGTGTGTTTATGAGAAATGCATCTGGAGACAGTTTCTTAAAGATCATTATTAAATGATTCAGGAACTGTAATGGACAGTTTTTTGAGAAATGGTCCCCAGTTTAACATCGTAGTTGATATAGTTCAGCTAAGCCTATACATCAATTAATATCACAACATTCATCTAATATGGAGATCAGGGGGAGGGGGGATTAAGAAGAACTCAGATAAGTGAAGCTAGTCAAAGGTGATTGATGATTCACCATAGCAACCGCATCAGGAAAACCAGCTGCAGGATAATGCAGTACAGATTAATAAATACACAGAAACATTTCATATTAAGCGATTGATTTATCTTTTTATGTTGAATTTTAGGAACCGACCCCGAAGGAACTATACGTAGTGCATTCGAAATGTTTGATGAAGATGGCAAAAAATACTTAGAAGAAGACTAGTAAGTTAACCAGCTTTCCACTGATACATAACTATGCGCTGCATGCTTTACTGTTCTTTGCATAATGCATATAATTCTCTCATTAATATTTAGCTCTGGCGCTGGATGACATCACAACTCATAGGGAGCATTCCATATGTCCAATATCAGTTCCCATCTTGGGAGCACTGTGTATATGGTTTCCAAGTTGGTCCCAAATTGGTATCTATAGCAACCAGAAGTTGCAATATTTTAGAATGTTATCTTCACTCCAGGAACCGATCCAGAGGGCACTATATTATCTGCTTTTCAAATGTTTGATGAGGATAATAAGAAATATCTAGAGGAAGAATAGTAAGTGAAGTGGGTCCTGTCTGCCCGTGTGTAGGGCCATTTTGTTTGTATATGTCTGTAGCTATTTTAAGTCACTCAACACAGAGTCTGCACTTTGTTAGAACGCTGTTTAATGGTTTTCTAAAGAAACAGCACAATTTGAGTTCACTTTGAGGCACTTTGAAAACTATTGCCTACTCTCTTATATCCAAACATTGCATGTCTGATGTGATGTACACAGCAACGTGAATATTAAAAAAAATTCGAACTGTTCGAAATATGGTTTCATGTTGATGCCATCGTGTATGACCTCATCTCCAAAATCTCCTCATTATACATCAATGATCCCCATTCAACTTTCATTTAAATCAAAACTTGGGTCACTATTGAACAAAAGAAGGGGTATGTTTATGCGAAATTGTTCTGAATAGCTACAGACACATTTTTCGTCCACATCCTTAGTGACGGCATGGTGGAGCATTTCTGTTTAGTTAATATATAGGATTCAGTTCGTTCAGTTAATGTCTTCACTAAATTAGGTCATTATTGTGTGTTACTATATATCATATATAGGTTACATAGTTCTAATCATTGGTTCATTGTGTGTCTATATAGATCTTAACTTAGTCTTAATCCACTTAAATGGATCATTTACGGCTCACTTTGCTCATGCAGAAGAGAAAATAAAAGGTATGTGGGTATCGTTTGTGAATGTATAAAGTTGGCATGCATATGTAGAATGGGATCTTCACATTTTCTTTGAATATCTTTGGATATGTTTAGAGTGCACATATACATACAGCAGTCTCTCAGTGTCATTATTTGGTATTGTAGATTTTATTTTTGTTCGTTCAGTTTTTCGAATTAATGTCTATGTTGCATAGCGTAGAATCTTATAGTTAGGAACTCAAAGCTGCGCTGATTAATTTTTTCAGTTTATAGTAAACTGTTATGTAGTTAGTTGTTCATTTTTATGCAAACATAGATGTAGCTATATATGGTCTCAGAAAGTAGTGACAATGGAATGTCACCAACTTTGAATGGATCTCATGTGTATTATGTCATAGTTTATTGTCTATTGTTTAGTGATGTCATAATATGTCGCTGTTTGGCTGCAGGACTCTACGACGTGTCATCATGCACTAATGAATATGCAAAAGTCTCTGGCTGTATTTTAAATGGGCATGTCCTTAAATGGGCATGCCCTTACACGAAAATAATGTGTATCATTAAAATATCACCACTGGCATTTCACAAAGAAAAAAGCTTGAATCTTACATCTTTGCTTAATTAGACCTTTCATGTAAATTAAACAATTACATGTACACACATTACATTGTACATTACATTGTAAAACTGCACTGAAATTCATATGTTAACGAATTCATATTGTCATTCTACTTGGTCAGACCATAAGCTTTCTTCTTTCTGCTTATAACTACAGTATTATCATGTATTTTGCATGTCAGTACAATTGCTTATAGATTAATACTGCATAGAACATCATGGCTTGCTCGTAGTACCATGATTCAGAGATCGTAGAATGGGGAGACGTCACCAGATCGTCATCAGATGCAGAAATTATATTTCAGAAGATATAATATTTGATGTATGGATAGATGATGACATATCATAGCATAATGAGTATTTCTGCTCAATGTCCATCCAGTGTCAAGTATTTTATGTTAGGTGGTGAGTATGATACAGTCTGTAGATAGAGCTGCTTAGGTCTTTTGGGTAGTCGTTCTAAGTCTGTACATGGATGGAGTTATGTGCCAATGTTGGCCAAGTACTTAAAACGACAGTGTCTCTTCGCTAGTCATGTGACATAGATATTTATGTGATGGTGTTATATTGACCAATAGGAACTGACCCAGAGGGAAGCATTAAAAGCGCATTCGAAATGTTTGATGACGACAGAAAGGGTATTCTTGAAGAAGATTAGTAAGTGATGATGTCATAACATGGCGATCCATGGAGCGACTCAATTTTTCTAGTAAATTAGTTTAAATATTTAGGGATAGTTTAAATGTGTAGTAAATACATGTATTAAATCAGAAATGAATGCTTAACAATATCTTTTTCAATATTATAAATTGCTTGCTTGCATGCTTTTTAACTTTAATTTTGCATGCTTTTTTGTGTGACATCACATTTTTATTTGGTGAGTTACTTCCACCAAGATTTAGATTCATTATGAATTTTTAGGCTCGTAGCCTGGGGTGGGGTGGGGGGGGGGGGTTGTGAATGTGAATCCCCCTGGAATTTTTTAAAAGGTGACCCCCCTTGGATGGCTACGGGCCTGATTTATAACTTCTTATGATTATTTACTGTGATCCTAATTGTGTCAGAATATATAAATATGTTAACTTCCCTCTAGTCAAATACATGTAGAACCATTTATACTATTGATGATTCTTTCCTGACTTGGTATTTCCTTTATATGCCTTACAAGCTGGGCTATTAAGCCATGAAATGAACACCCTTTGAATACTCCCATAATGCACATTGAATATCCCTAATGCTAATGCCGTGGTCACATTTGCTCCGATTTTCAGCGCTGGCACCTGGCCAATCAGTATTTTGTTCAAAATTGCATTCAGTTTTGAACAAAATACTCATCAGTGTGCACCGATGTTGAAGATCGAAACAAATGTGACCGTGGCATTAGGAGAACATTTGTATTCTTAGTTCACAGATGCTGTGTAAAATCCTCACATCCCCAAAACCTTGAGCTTTTAGACTCAAAACTTTTTGTGAACCCAGTGATCCTTTTTAAACCTTGAGTGTCGAGATTTTGATTTTCTTTCCCATTCTCCTGCTTTTAATCCTTCTTAATTTCCCATACTTTACTTTATTGTTGTGTTGTTTCCAGCATCAAGGACCTTCTAACAAACATGGGAGACAACTTCACAAAAGATGAGGTATGTAACCATAGCAACCATTTAAATTGTCATAGCAACCACACATTTCATATCATTAATTGAACATCGTGATTCTTTAAGATTGACAGGAGATATTGAATACTAATAAATAATAAAATCATTCAATTCTAGATGTTAGTATTGCTCATGCTAATATGTTAGGCTGCTTGTCTCGCATTTTGATAATCTGTTTGCAAGCTTATATATACTTAGACTTGACTGATGTAGAGATCATGTGAAAGCAAGAGATCATGTTAAAGCAAGAGATCATGTTAAAACAATATACCATGTTAAAGCATGTTTTCTTCCATCAGTAGCCATTTAGAAAATAATAGCTTTCCATGCTAAGTTGTTGATGCATTTTAAATGTTAAAAGAAAATTTGAGGGCATTTATTGAAAGAGTTCAAGAACTAGAAATCATCTTCTGAGGCAAATGTATGTATAATTTTGGAATGCCAAATGTATTGGTATGACTGTATTGGTATGACTAATGGTTAAGTCAACCATAAACACAAATGTTTAATTAATAGGAAGCCCACACTCCAACATCATTGAAGACTCCTCTTCACTTCCTAAATATTTTTTTCTGATGCATCAACCTTTAGCCTGCAAAGTTACATTCAGAGATTAGTCAAAACATTTCTATTTCTAGCTTTGGTAAGCCGGTTACTATAGCAACGTAGATATAGAATGGCTGTTTTGCTTTTAGTTTCACTTTCAGCAAATCTCTCATGTTAACAAATGAGGATCCTATGGAAATTCTTGTGCAGTACTTTGGGATTTAATGAGAAGTTTGAATTGAGATAGGAGGGGGTGGGGTTGTAATGAGAAAATAAACTGAGGGTGAAAATGGAGATGAGAGGGTGCAGGCGGGGGGGGGGGGGGGGTGTAATGAGAAAATAACCTTAGGGTGAAACAAGATATGGGAGAAATTATTTATCAATTCTTTTCAACACTATTTATACATTTGGGGTTCATTTAGAAAAGTTCAATTTTCTGCTTGTTGGGTTATCCAGAGTATTGCCTGGTTACCATCGTGATGTATCTATAGAAACTGGCTGTCTGAAAGGCTGCAGTGGCTGCTAGTGGGGATTAGTGTCGCTAGGGGTGACGCATGCTTTGTAGTATTTTTGTTGCTTGTATCTCTAGATTAAGTCTGTCTGGAAGGAGGCCCCCATTCACGACAAGCAGTTCGATTATGTGCGTTTCACAAAAATGGTGAAAGGATCAGATCAACAGGAATAAATGGTACAGCCGCATGATCTCCCAAGAGACAATAAGGATTTATCCTATATCCTAAGGATTTATTCCATGCCCAAATCCTATATCCAGCCTGGCTTGCATGGACCATTATAACAAAGCATGAAATAGACTTTTAATGTGAATACTAAAGAATAGGACATTTTTTATGGGATGTTTTACCAATGTGGTTCACCACTATAGAAGGTTAATTGAAGACACCATAGTTTAGGCAGGGGGACATATTGGTACAACATAACCACATTAAAAACAAAATTTCACTTTGAGGAAATTCAGTGCTTTTAAACCTCAATTGTATCATTTTTGAATTTATTCTTCCAGATGTACTTCCCAAATGTTGAGATTGAGCATGTCAAAATTAAAAAAAAATCAAAAAATGATATTTTCACATTTCTCTGGCAGTGTTTGAATTTTTTTAAATTATTGATCCTCCAAGAGTCTGACACAACAGTTCAAATTCAAATCCATACTTTTATTAGTGCTTGATGTCGATTTTCTTGTCAAAGCTGAATCTCTCTTTTCATTTCTACCATTTTAAAGCTCAATCAAAAATTGTAGAAAATAGCTGCTTGATTATTATTACATAGCTAATATTATTCAAAATACTAACAAATAAGCTCTGATATTTTTCTTTTTTTCATTCTTGCAACCTTAATGGTTAGTTTATATACCTATGATGTACATATAGATGCAATATTGACTTAAAGGTTATATAGATTTTTTGTCAGTAAATGTATATCATGTTCAATGCTGATTGTCTAATAAACAATTTTCGATCATTCTAGCCTCAGTAGTCTGTCACTTAAAGTGTGCAATAGTATTTAGTGGAATATATCATAAAACAGGGTGACCCGGAAGTTTGACTCATTGTGGTAAAATCTTTGGGTCACCCTGTACTCTCAAAATATCAACATTCACAGTGATGAAAATCATAAGTGTTCAATCAAAGAATTAAGAAAAGTAAAGAAAAAAGTTGTTTCACTTCTTCATCTTGAAAGAAATGATTATCACTGTGAGTGTCTGTCATTGAATTATTAATTTCAATCTGGCTCAGTATTCTTACTTGTACATGTATTGGAGTTACTTGTACATGTTTTTCAGTTAATTGTACATGTTAGTGGTTACTTGTACTTGTATAACAGTTACTTGTTCATGTTTTGTAGTTACTTGTACATGTTAGTGGTTACTTGTACTTGTATAACAGATACTTGTACATGTTTTGCAGTTGTACATGTTAGTTGTTACGTGTACATGTATAACTGTTACTTGTACATATATTGCATTTACTTGTACACATATTAAAGTTACTTGTAATTGTATTACAGCTACTTGTATATGTATTACAGTTACTTGTACATGTCATCCAATAACTTGTACAATGCTATAACTTGTCCATGTATTGACATAAATTGTACATGTTTTGAAAACACTTACTCATGTAGAACAATAATACATGTACATATAAGTAATTTCACTGAGACAGATTGTTACTATCATTGGAAAGGGTCACTTTAGATTGGATGCACCAGAGAGCTATCTAAGCACCCTGTCCTATCCCTACCCCCACACACCATGGCATGTTGTGACACTTGTGATCCCACGACCATCCCTTTCATGCACAGTAGGGTCATCCTAGGGGGAGGGGGGGGGTAAACTGCTGATATATATCTTTATAGGGAAACCTGTATTTGAAGAAAAAAATAGTGCCCTTTGTTGTTAAAGATTGTTTTCAAAATGGTCCCTGGTATCCTCTAATCGTATACCATAGGGTAAATGGTGAAGAGGATTTAAAGGGCTATATTTGTGTCAATGAGTATTTCATAAATCAGTTACCTTTACCCAATGCTTGTATCCTAGATCATTTTGTACACCCACCTGGTGTATTGTTGATGAGTATGGGGGGGAATAGAACCTGTATATTGGTGGTATCCAGGTTTAACTCACATAGCCATGGTTGTGGGGGGACTAAGACTTGGAGATTACTTCGTGTGAAATGCCTTTACCTTTTCTTACACTACCTGGACCAACCAATCAATCATTGCAATTTCAAGTAAAACTATTGCCTGTATAATCTCAAAATACACATCAATGTATTCAATTTCATTATGATACCAACTCCTTACGTTGATGGGTAAACAACACAAGAGGCTGTGGTACATTCCACCTTGTGTTCGATTTAAGCAAATATTTGTGGGGATTGTGTTTGATTTAAGCGAATATTTGTGGGTTCCATGCAAGCAAATGATTGGTTCAGGTGTGTAATGACTAACCTACACTGCCTTATTCCATCCTTCTATTTTTCCAAGCTCAAACAAACCTGGAAAGAAGCCCCAGTGCACGAAGGAAAATTTGACTATGTTCAGTTCACTGCCATGCTGAAGGGCAAGGGAGAGGAAATATAAAAGGTGCCTATGTTGAATTATCTTTCAAATAGTTCAAAAGATGGCAGTGGGGTATATATCAGTTCAGTGAGTTCAAAGTCAGACATAGTTGCACTCTCTGAATGTCTGATATGCATTGATACAATTTTCATAGCCAAAAGAAAGAAAGGACACCCTGTAATCTGTGTCTCAAAATAAATCGTAGATCTTAAGTCTCGAATTTTTGTTGTCTTATGATGTAGCATTTGACAGTTGAAATTCATGATTTAAAATTCACAATATATTTAAGACACATATATTTCCCCACCATTTAATACTAAACAGTGGTGTATGTATCCACCCTGAGAATGCTGTGTTCCTTAATTCATGAACACCATATGTTCCCTCCTCTTTTACCTATACTCTACCCACTGTCATATTTCTCAGTCTACTTGTATAACAACATCTGCTCTGACTACATCTGTATGAAACATCTGGTATGTATGAACAATATAGAGAATAGCAACACATCACTAGATATACCATAAAAGTATTATTATGTAGATGTTTAAAATAGAATTGATTATTATAATCATCGATCTTCTTTATCCTGTGATTTCCCCGATCAAAGTGTGTTTTTTTGCATTCACTCCTGACACTTCACTCCTTTCCTGTTCTACCACTCACGCATTGAAAACACATTTCAACGTAGAAAATATCACTCCGCGTGTTCCCGTCATTATACAAGAAAATTTCATAATTTGAAAGTAAATATGTAGATTTTAATTCCATCTGTAGTATGTTTGGCACTTATCTATGATGGTACTTTTCTATGTATGGTACTTTTCTATGACACCACAATGTGTTCATTATTCATTTTCAGATCAAAGCAGTATGGAAAGAAGCACCAATTCATGACAAAAAATTTGATTATGTAAAGTTTACGGGAATAGTCAAGGGTAAAGACCAGCAAGATTAAAATGGCGAATAAACCATCATCGCTTTAGAAGTGGACAATGTCTTTACAACTCCATGAGCCATTGGTGTTCATCCTCGCACACACTCATCAAGATCATCAGGGCCTCATTCTCATTTCTAGCAGACGTCACAACCTGGAGAAGCTGTCTCTATATTGTGTATATATATTTATGACTGGTGTGACGCACAGGGTTGAAACCCCCACCCCGGCTTACCACCTGGTGGCCAATTATATATCCATCTAGGGGATAATTTCTCCAGGGGACAGTTGTACAAACCTTCTCACCAAAGCATAAATAAACAAACAAATAGCAGGAGCTCTTCAAGATATGAACAATAAATGATGGACAAGATTTATGTTTCCCTAAAAATTCGAACATTAATTTTATGGCAGAAATCATTTAATTAGAAGTGCTTTCTGAGCCTTATTAGCTCATCCTTGTGATATTCATCATATGTTACATGTGATTGTGATGTCAGCACATATTGTGATGTCATCATGTCACCCTTTTCTCTTCTCTAAATTCTAAGTGCATGGGATCCAGCTAAATCAACAAATAGGGTTGAGAGGTTCCTAGAATCTCCAATATGTAGAAAAGGATGAGCTAACAAGTCTACATGTAGTATAGGTCGGCAATGTTGTATGTCAGGTAACAGGCCTACTTAGGCAGGTTGTGCAAGGAGCATTGGCATTCCAGTTCTATCTATAGCACTGAGCCGGCAGCCTGTTGGTGCAACTAGACTCTCAGAAGTGCATGTTGCATTAGCAGGTGGTTAGTTGCTTGGTTCTGCTAGCTGGCTACTTATGCACACACACAGCAACTAGCCTGCCTGCTCAGGTTTCTGTTGCACTAACTGTCTTGGTACACCCGCCTGGCAACACTTGCCCATATTTAGATATGGTTGTTATAGCAACCATGTAGCTCATAACTCAGTACTTGTGTATATGTGGTTGTATGTATGTGAGATGTGGCAAACCTGTACAATATATGGGGGGTTGAATAGGGGGTAAAGATCGGGGAGGGTATTTATACATAGCATGCGGTGAATTCCACAACAGGGTGCCTCGAAAACACCTTGATGTGAAATATACTGCTGTTGCTATGGAAACTTTGTGATTTGTTATCATGGGATATATATGACCAAATTGACCTGTCAAATAACATGTATAATTTTCAATGATATAGTTTATGTTGGGTTGTATATTGCTAGTAGACCAAGTACTTGCTCTACGTATATCTCCTATATTGCATGGCAGTGACAATGTTGCGGATTGTTGGTAGATTTTATAATTAACCATTAAAACCCTGTGCACAGAATTCTGTTTTTTGTTCATTTTTATTCATATAGATGGCATGCCTGTAGAATATTAAGGGTAACATATTTTGATTTTGTTTTGCCAATTTACCTTGGTTTTATGTGATGAGAAACTATAAATCAACAAAACTCTGTCAATCAAATTGGTTTGAAAAGTAATATGTTACCACCAAAATGTTCTACTGACTTGCCTTCTGAAATATGGTATGGGATATAATGTTGAGGTAATTACTTCACCGTGGCATATATCATACTGTATTCACCATAAAAAGTGCCCAACCACTATGAGCGCCCCCTTTACTTCATTTCTTAGGTTGTGAAATACCCAGTAATTCAGTATACAATCCATGATAGAGTTCTCATGACGTGCAATACAATTTTTTGAAGAAGAATTCACAAATGAGCTTTACTTTACAAACTTTGCTCTCTCTTGGCTATCTACCGTATTCCATATATAAAATGCCCCATCAGGATGGATACACATCTGCCCACTCTTTCAATTTTCAAGTGTCTACTGTTAAGATCCTTTCTACTTACATTTTGAAAACTAATGGGTGCTCTTTGTGATGGGTTACAATGGGGATTTCAATTTCAAATGTGCCATGGGTGCTTTTTATGACGAATATGATATATCATATGCCCTATCCAACAAAAAACAAAGGAAATGAAACAAGCAGAAATGAAATCATGGTCATTTCAGTCACATTAATTCTCCAAAACACATTAAAATAAACATTTTGAAATTATGTAACTATTTTCCCATCGAAGCAGACTTCTGAATTAGATGCTATGAATGTAAAAAGAATTTGTTTGACCACCTCAACTATTGAGGGTATCTTCAAATCAAGTCAATTAGAGACATCTTTTCAATTATTATTGACTGAAATATTTTCCCAGTAAGCTGACTAAAATGTGGAGCCTCTTTACAGTAAACTTAATAAATTGAAAAACCAAGGCATTTCATCTTTCTATCAATTTTATGTCACCAAGAAGAAGTGGTGACATATCGTCAGAGCCACTATTTGTTGTGTCCATCACAGCCTTTAGTGTCTGTAACAATTCGTTACAGTATTAGTAACCATTTGCAAAAAGGTATTTATTGGTGACTATTTATCATTTTAATGCCTGGTCTTTATATCATAGTTAGTTGCAAAACAAAAAGATGTGACAAGTATCAGAAAGACACAAGTGTCAGAAAGTGAGTCCAATAACTTCCATAGTTTCAAACTCTTGAATTTGTCAATTTTATTAATGAGCTAACGATAAAACACGTACACAATCAATAGACTTGAACATAAATCTTCTGTAATTGTTTGAACAAATCATTCAGATATTTTGTGAATTGATTGCTTATTTGAATCGTTAGGTGCAAGCAAGCACAAGCAGTTCAATATGGAACTTGTGATACTGTAGAAGAGGAATTTTTACCAGAAATACTAACATGGCTGCCATCTTTATATGATGAGATAAACTTTATGAAGTCTAAGAGTCTATGATAAAATGTTCTTATGTTGGGTCGTCTGGGGATATAGATATACATATATAAATTTAATCAGATATAATAGATTAAATCTCATTGATCAAATAATTGGTTGAATATACAGTACATTGTAATTTCAATTTGAAGACAACCAGGTGAATACAATATTTGAGGAAATATCAATTATATTCCCTGGTAGAAAGTTATTTGGAAAGTAACAAAAACCATGGTATAAAGTTGAACATTAATTGTTATATATTTTTGAGGATTATGATAATTATAAAAAATTATGCAAAAATCATCACTGTCCCTCTGCAAAGCAAAGCAATCGCATTGTTATCTTATGACATAACCAAAAATTATGAACAAATGCATTTAAATGAAACTGAACGTTGGAAATTACATAACCTAACGCAAACTGTTGTACTTAAAGATCTTACATCTTTTGAAGCAAAAATGGCTAAACTGTGAAAATATGAAGCCAATAAATAATTTTCGAAAACAAGGCATTAACATGGAAAAATGTCACCACCTTGTTATTGCAAATTGTTACAGACGCCAAACACCAACCACCAGATGCTAAACACCAAATTTTGAACACCATCCACAAAAATGTGGGAGACCATAACAATATATCATCACCTCTGGTGACATTAAAAGTTAACAAGTCTTAATATTCAATCTAACCGATTTGACCTGATTTAATTCACCTGATATTTGATTTGTTCTAATTGATATACAGTAAAACCTGTTTCATCTGAATGCCTCGGACACCTCCAGAAGTGTTCAGATTAGTAGGTGTTCATAATACAAGGTTTTATAAATGTCTAAATCAATGAGAGAAAATAAATTTGAGACCCAAGAAAAAGTGTTCACGTTGAAAGTACTCATATTGGAGAGGTGTTCGGATATACAGGTTTCACTGAAGGTTACATCTCTTGCCAATGATAAGCTTTGCCATGTCCTGATTCTCTGTATGTTGTGTCTGGCAGTGTTATCTGAGGATTCACCTGTTTACTGAATTATTGCACTTTTTTGAAGTAAACAAGGGAAAGGTTTTTCAAGGTGAATTTTTATTAACTACTGACTATTTCAAGAAAATACAGAAAGAGTATTTCACATGGTGATCACAATTTTATACATGGAGAAAAATCATGTGTAACTGTTTCTGAGGCAAGATTTTTATGTGTGTCATCTATAAAATGCTGAGTTGCTGCTGTTTATGTTGTAGGTTTCCTTTGCCCTTAGGCTATCAGTAGTATGTATTTCTTTTTTGAAGTTTAAGATTTCAAATCATTCCACTTGAATTTAACCTGAGACAAACATAAAGTTTAGGTATGTTAGTCTCAGATTTAACTTATATTGAATTAATATATTGTTTACCACTATTTAAGGTGAGGGATAAATCATGCTTTTGGTTAATTGTTGTTTGATAGTCACTCAGGATAGTCTTTGAAAGGGCCTTGTATTCTTCATTATTGACTTGTATCATATGCCATTGCTGTAGATTCTATGGAAAAGTTGACCTTTATTATTAAAGAGAGAATCAGAGATAGCGAGCAGGCTAAACAAAAAATTGTTTCTATTTTAGAATATTTTTGGCTCATGTCATTCCTTGTCATGTCTATTTTCTAAAACTCACAAAAGTGCATACTTTATTCAAGGAAAACGAAAGATTTTTACTATAATGTATTATTTGAATCATTAATAACTTCACCAATTTATAACATATTGTGAATCTTGGGAGATATTGTTTTTGAGATGGTAAGGAATAGATTGATAGGTCAATTATGCACGTTGCTTGTAATTTTGTCACCCCCTATAGAGCCTATAGATTTGATTCTGCCTTTAACAAGACAACTTCATGGATAATTCTTGGAAAATCTCACAAATGTACTGAAAACAAGACTCACAGGTGGTCACAAAAGGCAGAAATAACATGTTGTGAAATAAAAACAAGAAATTAGGAATTATTATTAAGGATGTATAAAATGACAAATTATCTCCATTGATTGACTTAAAAATGATATACATTTGTAATGATATTACTCACATTAAGTTACATAAACTTGAATAAGGTTGCAGTAAACTATGAAATATTTCATAATGATAATTTTATTGTTCACTAAAATATGACCTAAACATATTTCATTTAAAGCAAAGTTATACATTGTTATATCACAAATAGGTATCAATCCATTAGGGATTACCTCAAAACATTATTACAAGCCAAATAGGGCATATAAAGTTAGTTTCATTCTGAATGAGCCACAACACTCAAAAAGTAACTTATTTGCTTTTTATACTCTTCTGAAGACATAAAATCAACGTTATTAACCAAACAAATCTTGAAAATAGAAAATAAAAGGTCCATGTGCAGTATGGCAAGTGATTTTAGACGGTCATATCTTTCACCATGAGTACTTTCTGGTCATAAATACAGTGGTTTTTATCAAAACAATATGTTTTCTTTCAATTGAAGTCCCCTTGATGATAAAAATATCAATCGAACAATTCGAAAAATTATAAATAGGGACCCCACGTCGACATTTTTTTCAAAATGTTGAACTTATTTGCTCAAAAGAAGATCTTCTTTTTCTGATTTTTATTGCATGAAAAGATTATTTAACAAGGGGTCTAAAACATCTTCAATAGTAGAATTGTATTGAAAGTCTAGTTTTGAAGATATCAATTTTCGATGACCAAAATCATGCTGAAAAATAGCATGAGTTTTCCCTATGGGAAAATAACATGGGAAACTTTATCGCGTTATAAATATAGTGTAGAAGAAACTTTTGATATATTTAAATTGAGAAAAATAAGATCCTCTTTTTTGAAAATAAGCCTTACATTTTTAAAAAAGTGACAAGGTGGGGTCCCAATCCATAGTTTTTCAGATAGTTGGATTGATATTTTACTATCATGGGAATTTCACTTAAAAGAAAACATATTGTTTGAATAAACACCACTGTATTTACACCCAGAAAGTACTTATGGTGAAAGATATGACTGTCTAAAATCACTTGCCATACTGCACATGGACCTTTTACATTCTTCTTCCCCTCATACAGAGTTTTGATCTGATCCCTTAAAAACCAAGGAAACAAAGTATTATTTGCTTCAAAGCATGCGTCCAATCAAAACCCGGGATCATTACTCAAGTATACATGTAGGTTCCATGTTACGGGTTTAAAATAAAAGCAACACATATATTTTAGTTCCGTGCTACAGAATAGTGCACACGTTGAAATTTCAACAAAAGAAGAAGCTAGAGCTGACAATGTCTTTTACAGAAGCAAGGTATTTTAAAATCTATTTTCATTTTTTTTAAATTAATTTTGCAAGAAATAATGTACATAATAATGTAATATTGATTCGAATCAACAATGCTGTTTACAGCTTATTTAGTTTTTTAAATAAAAAATATTTTTTCATTTGTAACTTGTGATGGCAAATTAATAAAATTTTGTGTCAAATGAAATGAAAAATCAAAACACTGAAATTTAATTTTCAATTTCAGAAATTTCATAATTTGGAGTGTAGAGCTGCAAACAACTTTTACATATGGATATACCTCATTAGAAACAAATACAATGTAAAGAAATTCAAAAAAAATTATAATAGTTTTTTCATTACTTTTCAGCGTAACAATGGTGATGGATCTTACGACGAGAGGATTTATAACATTTATTGTGTCACTTCCTTTACTAATCGCGACATGGAAACTTTGGGAGGCATACATGACTGGAACTAAAGATCAAAATAGCAGCTTACCCCTGCCACCCGGAAGTATGGGCATTCCATTCCTAGGAGAAACAATTTCATTTGTTTTACAGGTATGACATTCAATATTGAATACACGTATATACAATTGTTCAATACAGGTATATAATGAACTAAATGCAAGCAGAAATAATACTGATTTACATAATTTAATATTCAAAATTCAGTCAAGAAGTGATATCATATTTGAAATCTACATGTATAATTAAATCTTGAAATGTGGTTTCAAAAAGTGTTTATCAACTTTGAAAATTTTCTTTGAAAATGCGGTTTCTAGTTCGGGTAGATTCCCCATAGACCCCATGTTATAGAATCACAAAAAGTGAAATATCTTTTCTTGTTTTGGACAGATACTATTTATTTTTACTGGACATATTTTAATTTGTGTAACTATCATATACATAAATGTAACACGAAAACTGATCCACTTCAACTGATAAATATTGAGGTTTATGGGAACTTTCTACCATATCTGCCATGTTATTTGACCTGAATTAGCCACCTGGTGGTGATACTGGTAACTACCTATTGGCATTGTTCCTAAAGGTGAACTGGATAAATTGTAAACCTCCACAAGATTTATATGTCATTATCAAATAAGTTCAAAAGTTGACAGAGAAAGATTCTCTCAACTTTTATTTTCTTCGAAAATTCTCTCAGTTATTAGTTATTTCTTGCCCTAAAATCCCATTTTATTTTCACAATTGTAAAATCACTTTTTTACATGTATTGTAATGACTTCAGTATGAATGAGATGTCCCTTGGGGTTATGTTCATGGAATGTGATAATGGTACTTGAATGATGGGGAAGGAGTATTAGACATTGTTTCTCTTTAAGTGAGATCATGGTTTGGGATAGTTGGGGTTTGTTTTCCTTATTACAGGTGTAAAGTCGTGGATGTTTTTCTGGCTGTGCTCTGTCATGATTTTTGGTCCTTTCCCTGCACTTTTCATACATATTTACATAACCCCGAGTCAAAGTTCATACTTTAAAGCTATTTCTGTTTCTGTGTATTATGTACTTTGACATAGTTAGCATGTCATTTCCTGAATGTTTGCCAAAAGTATGATGTTTTGTTGCATAAAGTCATAAGCAATAAGCATCCTAAAACTTGATGCTGTTTCTAGGACAAAAGTTGATCTAGAGTTGAACTCATAAGGCCAGTTGTGAAAAATTATGTGAAATCGAATTGCACAATGGACATTTTTGAAATTACAGTAAAACATGGATATCTGAACACTAATCTTATTTGAACACCATTTAATTTGAACACATTTTTTCAGTACCATTTGCCAGATACCTCAAAATGCAGTAAACACTTGAATATCCAAATACATTAACCTGGTCGCAACAGTGTTTGAATTAGACAGGTTTTAGTGTACTTATTAAATTATGGTCATGCTTTTGGAAAATAAAATGCCATTTTTATTGTAGACAATTATAACAAATTATATACAAAAAGTTGATTAAAACAGATTCAGCAGACCAATTTTCATCTAACCTTGCTAAACAAACAAATCATATGCATGTTCAAAAAAGTGTTCTGTGAATACAAAATATTATCTATCTAAAAAACAAATGTTTGAAATATAAAATGGGTTCATATCACTGCTACCCACCTAATTACACAGATCGGCATTAATATTGCCAATATTACACTGATATTGGTCGTTCGTCAGTGTAAGAAAAGCGAGGGACTAAATACGTGAATTGTGTCTTTGTTAACATATAAAACCTAAAACCATCGACACATTCTCAAACTAGACTATCTTCCTTAACTTCGAGCCAAATTATTATCCACAACGTGACTTATAACATGTATAAGTAGGTGTAAATCGGGAAATAAAAAAATCTTACCGAAACCTAGTCCCGGAGGAAGTTCTGCCATAATACACCGACGATACGTCTGTGTAATTAGGTGGGTAGCAGTGCATATGGGAGTATATGGGAATTTCCTGACCTAGGACAATCATATATTTTGAGATCAATGACATATTTTTATAATTTTAATATCAAAGCTGCATATAAAGTTACATGAATTTTTATAATTTTAATAACAAATTGTGTTTCTATATTGTAACTTGTTTTTGCTTTGTATGACCCTGTCACCTTTTGACTTTTGGCACAACCGATCCAAGATGTATATGATTATAATCACACCCCTAAATGAACTCATATTGTATAAGTGGCCTTATAGTGACCTTAGTCACTATATTCAAGGTAAAAACATGTCCATTTTGGGGAGGGGTTGGGATATTAGACATTGTTTCCTCATGATTTGGGATAGTTTGGGTTTGTTTTCTTTATGACTAGTGTACTTTTAGATGTCTTGTCTAGTGTTTTATTTATCTTGCCGTATTCTGTAATAATTTTTGGTACTTTTCCTTTTGTACTTTTGCATATATTGTCAACATGATTTGAACCTTACGTTTTTTGTTGTCTATATATTTTTTTTATCTTATATCTATCAGAAATGAGTGATGTTTGAAAAAATAATATAGTTTTGACATTTCTTTCTTTTTCTTAAATAGGGCAGATTGTTTACTTCTTCAAGACGTCAAAGTTATGGGAACGTTTTCAAGACACACATTCTAGGGCGTCCAACAGTTAGAGTGATTGGTAGTGAAAATGTCCGTAAGATTCTAATGGGAGAACATTCCCTGGTGACTTGCCAGTGGCCTGCAAGTGCAAAGATGATCCTCGGGGAAAATGCTCTGGCGATGTTGTCCACTGGTAGCATCCATACATCGCGTCGTAAAGCAGTCTTGAAGGCATTTAATTACGAGGCACTTTCAAGCTATGTTAGACCTACGCAACAGATTATTCACGAGTGCATCATGAAATGGCCGGAACGTGACAGAATTCTGGGATACCATGAATGCCAGGGTATGACTTTTGAGGTTGCTGGGAAGGTCCTTCTCGGGTTCAATTTTGACAAACAGGAAACAACTGACCTAACAAAGACGTTTAAGAGGCTCCAAAATAACCTTTTCTCACTCCCGGTGAACTATCCAGGATCTGGACTTAACAAGGTACAAATTTTGATATTCAAAACAACTAGAAACACTGGCAAAATACCAGATCACGTCATATAACACCACAAAAACAAACCTCTAACCTATTGAACCCTTTACAGAGCCAAAAGCAAGGTGTTAAAGATATGTTGAAGTAAGAAGTGAGTCAGTATTACTGCATCATTATGGACTGAATAAGTCCAAATACATATTACCAAAACTATGGTTATCCTGTAATATTCAAAGTTCCATGAAAAATGAAAGGCTCTTAAATCTAATTTTACAGGTTTTCATGACAATTTCACATTTTTTATATTTCGCATAAATAGGCCAGTGATTTTTTTTATATCACTTTTATATCCCTATAAAAATTTCCCTTATCATAACCCATTATTTCGGTCAATTTCAAGAAAATCACTCTGCTATGATTAAAAATGATTTTTCACATTGGGCTCAACTATAAAAATGAAATTTCCAAATTTATCATTTTAAAATTCTATGTGGTGAAAAGTTGCATATTGGGAAGTTCTTTCATGATTATGTGATATCACAAAAGGAATTATATACAGCCAATAAAATGACATTTTAATATACAGGTTGAGCAAAAAAAGGTAACCCAAACAAATGTTAATAACTCAGTCATCCAGCATGGGTTTAAAGTCATATTTGGCATAATTGAACATTGTTCTGAGATAATTATTTAATGAACATTTTAAAATTATATTCAGATCATCCTCTATAAATTTTTAGTCTTCCCATTGGAAAATAAAAATTTGTATAATTTTCTTCATCTTGTTATGAACATACTATTTATTTACCATGTTATGAATGAGAAGTACATGTATGCGTTCAACATTCCAACTATTACATAATGTTACCAATAATCATCGACAACCTTTTAAGTACATTCCCATTTAGAAAAATGCCATGGGGTAAAAGTATTATTTTGTGGGTCTAAATTAAAGTGTATTTTTGAAAAGTGCAGTAGTAGTAAAGTAGTGATGGATCTTAAACCTGTTTCATAAATTCTTGGGAAGAATTTTCTTTTGCTATATTTTGGACATGAATTAAGTTCTGAGAAAGAATTTCGATTGAAAATATTGGCCCTCTCATGCCTTCGTGGTACAGAGAAATGCATTATATTGAAGAAAACTATCTTTTGTTGCCGAGGTTTAAGCTCCAGAATATGGCCTAGGTTCGAGTAACCTGAGTGCACTAAATGACAAAAATTCACTACTAACAACAGTAGTCACATTTTTAATATTGACACTAGTGCCATCTTTAAATTAAATATTTATGATATTAATATCTATCTATCTGATGTGCTGTTGTGCTTGGCTTGCAGGGGCTGGAAGCGAGAAAGATCCTCATGGAAGCAATAGAGAAGATTATAACAAAGCGCAAGGAAGACATTGCAAATGGCAGTCACACAGAACATGTGGATGCTTTATCTTTACTAATCCAGAAAAACGTGGATGAAGATGAGGATGAGGTCACTATGGACCAATTGAAAGATTCAGCGCTGGAACTACTTTTTGCTGGGCATGAAACTACAGCCAGTGCAGCAAGTTCTATATTACTACACTTATTTAAACACCCAAAGGTTATTGACAGAGTAGCGATTGAAATGAACAAGTACAAAATATTGAACAATGACACTACAGAACTTACATATGAAACAATCAACAAAATGACATATCTCAACAATGTTGTCAAGGAGATTCTGAGATTATCACCACCTATTGGCGGGGGATTTAGACGAGCGGTCAAAACATTTGAACTTAATGTGAGTTAAAAAACAAGATCAAAGTCTTTAAATATGCAATAAGTATATTTTTTATAGCTAACTGTCAGTTATTTTATGAACCATGCGATGAAATTGTATATTTTCATTTTACCTGATTAATCTTATCTTCATATTGTTGTTTGTTGTATCCGTCAATTATGTGTTTGTATTCTTTTAGGGGTACCAAGTGCCCAAGGACTGGACCATCATGTACTCGATCAGGGACACCCAAGACACATCACAAGTATTCCAAAATGTGGATGAATTTGATCCTGGACGTTGGAATGACCTTGACCTCACCACAAACCAATCAGATCGTTTCAGCTATATCCCATTTGGTGGAGGTACCAGGGCATGTATCGGCAAAGAATTCGCTAAACTTCTCCTGAAAGTGTTTATTCTAGAGCTGGTAGGGAATTGTACGTGGAAAATACCTAACCCAAACCCTCGTATGAAATCATTCCCAGTTCCATACCCGGTTGATAAACTCCCAATAGAATTCTCAAAGAAGGAACACCGTCTGAGGTCATTCACTTTTTAAACCATACATGGTGAAGGAGGATTGGCTCCTAGAGTGCAACATTGATATTTTTGCCATATATCGGCATGTCTTGATTACAAAATTTGAATTCAAACAGCCATCATTTTGTTCGCTTCAACATTTGAACCATGAATTTTGGTCCTATTTCCAGGCGAAAAAAAGAAATGATCGAGATATTGGTTTGAATCTTTTGAAGTGTTTATTTTGAATTTACAGTCAGTTACAATTTCAGAAAATAACATTTCGATGTTTTCATTATTGGAAAATATTTTAGATCATGAGAGCCAATCCTCCTTGATACATGGTATTATCCCACCCTAAGTGCTTTATATGATTGTATAATAGCATTGTATAACTGCAATATAAAACCAACACTCATCGTATACAACTCTTGAGAACGATATACAACTCCTGGATAGCGTATACAACTCCTGGGCAGCGTATACAACTCTTCGACTTGATATACAACTGCTGAATTTAGATTAACCTTTTATTGATTAAAGATTAGGGTGGGATAATAAGATCATATAATGGTTGATTCTGTATATCGTTATACTCTCGTGAGTATATGATATATTCACTCGTTCCCTTCAGTCACTCGTGAATATATCATATACACACTTGAGTATAAACACGATATACGGAATCAACCATTATATAACCTCATAATACATGCTGCTTATATACACCCAAATAAGGAAGTTAAGCTCAGGAAGAAACTGTTGGGTAGAGATGAAGCAATTTATGAACATTCCTGTAAATCATAATCCATAAAATGAACCAATATTGAAATCTGCAAATCTGTATATCTATCTGTATAAGTCTTTAAAACCTGTATAAGTAGAATGACCCTTGCAAATCTAAAAAAAGTGTTCCATTTAGGAAATGTTCCATAAACACAGATTCAATGGACTTTGAAAAGTGATCCACTTATGGAGGTGTTCTACTGGTTATATTAGAAGCTACCATGAATTTTATGCAGCGGATATCTTTGTCTTTCTATCGAGTGTTGAAATGATTGTTGGTGTCAACCTGTTTGGTTTCACCCTGTTTATATTCAGACATTTTACTACCTCAGTTAATTAGGAGTTATATAGAAGAAGTTAGTTTCAAATGACATGTTTAAAATATACCTCATTCACAGTGTTTATCAATATTTATCATAAATGTATAGATTTGTATATTTAACCTTATAAAAACACAGTGATACCTCACAAATGTATAGACTTGTAATATATAACCTCATAATTCAAAAACCTCAAAAATATGTAAGCTTGACAATGTGATATTAAACCTCACAAATATACATGTGATACCTTATATATGATGACTTAATTTTTCATAAATGTATAGACTTCTTATATTGAACCTCATTACATGAGAAACCTCATAAATATTATATACTTTAACCTCATAATTATACATTTCAATACCTCATAAAAGTTTTGTAAACTGTATATAATTGCATATACCATTTTCGGTTATATTTTTGTAATTATTTACATTAAAAAAATAATAAGGGACAGAAAATGTTGGGAGGCAATTAAATCTTCACAAATCATGCCAATATTTTCTTTACAAGTTTATAATCTAAAAATTGGATATCTTGAAAATACTGGTGTACTTTTTATCCAATAGGCCTGACATGGAATAAGTAGAGCAAAAATATTGTACAATTGTGACAAACTTACTTTTTACTGTCACTTTACCTTCTCGTCACTTCAAAGCAAATGAATGTAAATGAGATAATTTGCGATAATAATGAGATATGTTTGGAGAAGTTGGATTTGACATGTGATATGTGTTTGATGCACCTCTCACTATAGAGTGAATTCATTATATTCATTTATTATATTCAAACTTACTTTTTACTGTCACTTAACCTTCTCGTCACTTCAAAGCAAATGAATGTAAATGAGATAGTTTGCGATAATAATGAGATAATATGTTTGGAGAAGTTGGATTTGACATGTGATATGTGTTTGATCCACCTCTCACTATAGAGTGAATTCATTATATTTATTTATTATATTCAAACTTACTTTTTACTGTCACTTAAAATTCTTGTCACTTCAAAGCAAATGAATGTAAATGAGATAATTTGCGATAATAATGAGATAATATGTTTGGAGAAGTTGGATTTGACATGTGATATGTGTTTGATGCACCTCTCACTATAGAGTGAATTCATTATATTTATTTATTATATTCAAACTTACCTTTTACTGTCACTTAACCTTCTCGTCACTTCAAAGCAAATGAATGTAAATGAGATAGTTTGCGATAATAATGAGATAATATGTTTGGAGAAGTTGGATTTGACATGTGATATGTGTTTGATGCACCTCTCACTATAGAGTGAATTCATTATATTTATTTATTATATTCAAACTTACTTTTTACTGTCACTTAAAATTCTTGTCACTTCAAAGCAAATGAATGTAAATGAGATAATTTGCGATAATAATGAGATAATATGTTTGGAGAAGTTGGATTTGACATGTGTTATGTGTTTGATTCACCTCTCACTATACAGTGAATTCATTATATTACAGGGTGACTTGGACTGTTGGAGTTATTGTGTTTTTGGGACACCTTGTATAATCTACTGTATATGAACATACAAAAAGACAAAACATTTTGTAAGTTTGTATGAAAATGAAAAAATAAAAGTTTATTGGAAAAACTTATAAACAAGATATTTTAATTGCATTGATTGTTTGTCATTTTACCGTTACCAAATTGAGGATAAAAGGGATTTACCAACTGAATACCACAAATAGAAAATTAAAATGTCTTCAAAACTTTGATTGTCTACGTTCAACCAAAGTCTTTTATTTAGGACACATATGTTACATATCACTTCTATATCGTTTGTATCGTTGTAACAGTGGTTTGTCTGACTTGAAACACATTTTAATATTCTATTAGTTGGAGATGTTGATACATTAACTTGTTAGCACCTGATATTACATGGTAACTCTTGATACTATGTGGTAACATTCAACATTATATATGTATAAACGTATATGGTAAGACAAGATATTACATGGTAACACACATTAATATATGGTAACACATATTAATATATGGTAACACATATTAATATATGGTAACACTCAATATTAGACACATGGTATTATCTAAATATATGGTAACATCCAATATTACATGGTAATAACATATATTACATGGTAACATCAAATTTACACCAGGTATTATGTGGAACACCTTATACATATTGTAGCACCATTTAAAACATTTTTGGATGAAATATTTTGGATGAAATATTTAGAATGAAACTATTGTTGAAATGAGACTAGGGCCAGAATGCGACAATAGATAAAATGTGACTATAGCTAAATTGGGACTGTCTATGACTAGAATAAGCCTAGGGTTAGAATCTGACTATGGCTACTTTGGAAATATGGCAAGATTGGGGACTAGAGCTATTATTAAACAAGGACTAGATTAGGATGAGGGCTAGATTGTGACTATAAATCAACTGCTATCAACATACTATAAATAAACTGCAACTAGGGCTACATTATGACTATGGATAAACTGGGGCTAGGGCTATATTATGACTATGGATAAACTGGGGCTAGGGCTATATTATGACTATGGATAAACTGGGGCTAGGGCTAGATTATGACTATGGATAAACTGCAACTAGGGCTATATTATGACAATGGATAAACTGGGGCTAGGGTTATATTATGACTATGGATAAACTGGGGCTAGGGCTAGATTGGTACTAGGGATAAACTGGGGCTAGGGCTAGATTGGGACTTGGGATAAACTGGGGCTAGGGCTAGATTGGGACTATGGATAAACTGGGGCTAGGGCTAGATTGGGACTTGGGATAAACTGGGGCTAGGGCTAGATTGGGACTATGGATAAACTGGGGCTAGGGCTAGATTTGGACTAGGGATAAACTGGGACTAGGGATAAATTGGGGCTAGGGCTAGATTATGACTATGGATAAACTAAGGCTAGGGTTAGATTCGGACTAGGGATATAACTAGACTAGGGTTACAATGAGACTAAGGCTAGATTTGGACTAGGGGTAGAATGTGACTAGGGCTAGAATGATACAAGGGCTAAAATGAGACTTGGACGTAAATTAAGACTCAGGAGATTTGGCAACTATTTTAACACACGAGATATAACATTTATGGTTGGTAGAACAAAATCATAACATTTATCAAGTCAAGAAACTTTAGTTATTTTCAAGCTTTTGTCTGCTTCTAATCTCTTCCTAATATGGTTTGATCTATTTCTAACAGTGTTTTAACTGCCATTGGTTGGCACTGTTCTACAATTTAATACATATTACTAATTTTTCTTACAACAGCAACATACAACATCTACACAGAAATCAAACTAATTGATGTCATATCCTAATATTTATAAGAGATTTCTATCCTAATTCTACATGTATTCCTATTTGGCACAAACCAACTAACTTAATTGGACATATATTCAAGAGTTGTGGCCAGACTGCCACAAACACATTGCAACTTGAAGGTATGTGTTGATGCCACACAAACTAGGCAAGCAAGTCACATAAAATACAAAACAACAGAGTTTCCTCTTTAGCATGTCAAAGTGACAGCATCCTTTTGAATACAGTTTTCCAGACATCATCTATTCTGTTCTTGTTCAGAGTGAATGATGCCTGGAGCAGGAGCTCTTCATTTGGAGGTGACACAAAAATATAACTGCCAAAATTTCTGAGACTATTTGTTTTGAAAAATAAGAATATTGAAGTAAAAGGTAGTATACATACCATGGTTTAATAAAAATACATAACTCATGATTGCCTTCAACAAAATTACACAACAAAGACATCATATTGCCCCTGAATGTCTTACAAAATTGCACACAACTAATTTATAAATTAAGAAGCCTAACCAGGCTCGAATATATGGTGCACATATAGAACAATGTTGTTCGATCATTTTTTTCAATTTTTCACGAAGAAATGAAGTCAAAATCATCCATTGTGAATAAATGCAACTAAATGAACATAATGAATAAAGAAAGATTATGAAAGATTTTGACATCCTTTCAGTTTTTGTATTTTATAGTGATGGTTAGTTTGTTTAAAACAATGTTGTTAGGGAAGCTGTCAAAAGATCAATGTCACCATTTAAAAAAAATTTGACTAATTAAGTTTGTGATAGCCATCTACTGTGTTCTTGAAAAGTCCTGTTAATTTTAAGATCTTTTTATGTCTAATCAAATTGACTACAAACAATTGTCGCATATCATTTACAAGTTTGTAAAACAACACAGAACTTTTGACAGCTTCCTTTACGATACTGAAGCAAGTCTACTACAGTATAATTGCATCTTTGTACTGCAATACGACACTTGTACTCTTTGTACAACATTTGGCACGCTCTCTAGAACACCTTGGCACGTACCTGTGATAGAGGACAGCAATATTATAGAGTTAAAGGGTTGCAAGTTGAAACACCCATCACCCGACCCAATGTCTTTACTCGCTAATGAAAACTCTACCTGCCATTTGTTACAGATGCTGACGATGGAACACTATTACAGATGCCAAACACCTTCCACAAAAAGTTGGAAACTATCAACAATATGTCGCCACTTTTGTCACTGTTGGTGACATAAGAAATAAGTTTCAAAATATAAGGATGTTTATTATGAGAAGGCAGGTGGTTTCAAAATGCAACCCTTTAACAAAGTGGGTTCTCTTACACATGGAATACACACCATTAAGTCTCCGCCTTGGAGAATTAGTAAGTTACACTATATATCTTTAACCTAATAAGCTAATTCTGGCATTTTAGAAATTAGTTACTTCAAAAATATAAACGTAGCTTCTTTAATATGCAACAACGAAAGTTGTCTCGAAGTTGTCAACATTTTAACTGATATTACACACCACTCACTGGCCTCTTTAGGTATATATGTTTCAACTAAACAAGTACATAAATGTAAACAATAATACTTAAAATATTGACTTCTCGTCAATGTCAGCTACATGCAGCGATATATCGGTTGTGTCAGAATATTTCTAACTCTTCCATGATTATCCGATTGTCAAATTTTAGTCAAATAGCTATCAAACTTTGTTAAGGGATATAAACAAAATCTTTGGTACCTCCAATACAAGGAATAGGTTGAATTAGAAATAGTATGACACAACAAAAGACTAGACTATTTGTAACAATAAACGTGTTAAGTTTCTATATACATGTTACATGGAATATTTAAGTCATGGACTGATGGTCTAATGACCTTATAATACTGGATACTTAAATGCTAATCCTGATGCTATAATATCAATCAAATACTGCTTTATATGCAAATTGAGAAATGATACCAAAGGTTTGGTGCCATTCTATTTTGAGGACTTTTATCCGACTGCCCCAATACATGAACAACATTTTCAAATATTAAATCAAAAGGCATCATCAGTATGATTAACACAAATGAATTTGTATTTCTAATGATTGTGATACAAATTGAATGTTCTTCATGGTTTGCAGCATTCATTTTCATGGAATGTTTTTATAAGTTTTCATAAATGCAGGCAAAACCATCAGCAGTGTGTTAAATTCTTCATTTATTACAAGATTTGTGATCAGCAGTTTATCTTTGGAATGTCTCAAATTCACAACATCAGCAGTAAAGTTCATGACAAGCTTCGGCATCAGTATATTCAATGACAGGCTTGGCCATGACAAGCTTCAGCATATTTGTGGAAAACATTTTACAGCTCTTTTCAGCAGTTTTACTAGGAATGTTTCTAACTCTACGAAGAAGTATTCTAAATACCACAGAGACAGTCTTTCTCGAAACCATCGTTTCATCAATACAGAATTCAGTGACTTATTCATTTTAATCAACCAATCATTTCTGGTGAATTATTCATGGTGGTCCTATTCATTCACTGCATACCTGAAATTTAGGCTTACCTTGACCTTTGACTTAATGGTCAAGATAGGCGGCCCATGAAGAAGGTTGTCTCATTGAGTGTTGGTGTACTACAGGGGGTCTGGTAGGGGTCATGTGGAATTAGCTTCAATGTGCTAGTGACAGTCGTAGTGCTGGTGTCCATTGGAACAACGTGGACATCATCCTTAGCAGCGGCCTCATCCATATCATGAGTCCTGAAAAAAACACTGTAAATATAAAACATGTTATAAAATCAATATTCCCAGTAGAATCTGTTTTTTAAATTTAATGCTTATAAATAATCTTGAATACATTTTATTTGTTTTACAACAGCTCAATTATAGCCAAAGACGATTTAGTCCAATGCATAAGAATATGGATAATGCATGATGAAATTGTGTTTCGATTGGTCAAAATTGACAATGCATGCTCATAGGGGGATACTTACTTAAGCATTATGTTAATGACTGGAGTGATTTGGTTCAGGGCGAACATGGTGACCTTTGACATGAAGTGACTCCAGTGAGGCTTGATGTGTAGACAGGTACGAGATGCCGCTACAGCAGCACTTGCTATCAGGGACGGAGAATACTCTTTGTAAACTTGATCTGAAAGTTTGAGAGAAAATGAATATAATTTCCAGTTTCAATTTTGAATTTGACCAACTGTGATTGTATCATTGATCTGAAGTGAGTTTTTTAAAATAAAGAAAACTAGTTTTTTTTTTATTTCACCTGGTGACGAGAAGTGACTACACAACAGATGTTGAAATTAGGTTTGAATGGCTTTTAAAAACAACACAAAAACCACAACTTAACTAACAACACAAAATTAGGTCCTTTCACCAACATACAGGGTGTCTGGAAAGTAAAGATGCAAATGCTCTCATTCCAAGAGATTTACCTGTTATGAGATGAAATTACTCCAGAATATAAATGACATAATATTCAATTTAAGTTAACATGTTCATTAACAGTTAACATTTTTATTATCAAGCGTTAACAATTTAAGTTCATGCATTCGTTAACAGTTGACAATTTCAAATGAATAAATTGATGAACAGTTAACAATTTAGGTTAACACATTTGGCAATAGTCAGCTTTTTATTGTCAACCGTTAACAATTTAAATTAACATGTTCATTAACAGTTAACATTTTTATTGTCAAGCGTTAACAATTTAAGTTAATGCATTCGTTAACAGTTGACAATTTCAAATGAATAAATTGATGAACAGTTAACAATTTAGGTTAACGCATTCGACAATAGTCAGCATTTTTATTGTCAACCGTTAACAATTTAAGTTAACATGTTCATTAACAGTTAACATTTTTATTGTCAAGCGTTAACAATTTAAGTTAATGCATTCGTTAACAGTTGACAATTTCTAATGAATAAATTGATGAACAGTTAACAATTTAGGTTAACGCATTCGACAATAGTCAGCATTTTTATTGTCAACCGTTAACAATTTAAGTTAATGTGTTCATTAACAGTTAACATTTTTATTGTCAAGCGTTAACAATTTAAGTTAATGCATTCGTTAACAGTTGACAATTTCTAATGAATAAATTGATGAACAGTTAACAATTTAGGTTAACGCATTCGACAATAGTCAGCATTTTTATTGTCAACCGTTAACAATTTAAGTTAACGTGTTCATTAACAGTTAACATTTTTATTGTCAAGGGTTAACAATTTAAGTTAATGCATTGGTTAACAGTTGACAATTTCAAATGAATAAATTGATGAACAGTTAACAATTTCAAATGAATAAATTGATGAACAGTTAACAATTTCAAATGAATAAATTGATGAACAGTTAACAATTTCAAATGAATAAATTGATGAACAGTTAACAATTTCAAATGAATAAATTGATGAACAGTTAACAATTTCAAATGAATAAATTGATGAACAGTTAACAATTTCAAATAAATAAATTGATGAACAGTTAACAATTTCAAATGAATAAATTGATGAACAGTTAACAATTTCAAATAAATAAATTGATGAACAGTTAACAATTTCAAATAAATAAATTGATGAACAGTTAACAATTTCAAATGAATAAATTGATGAACAGTTAACAATTTCAAATGAATAAATTGATGAACAGTTAACAATTTCAAATGAATAAATTGATGAACAGTTAACAATTTCAAATAAATAAATTGATGAACAGTTAACAATTTCAAATGAATAAATTGATGAACAGTTAACAATTTCAAATAAATAAATTGATGAACAGTTAACAATTTCAAATAAATAAATTGATGAACAGTTAACAATTTCAAATGAATAAATTGATGAACAGTTAACAATTTCAAATGAATAAATTGATGAACAGTTAACAATTTCAAATGAATAAATTGATGAACAGTTAACAATTTCAAATGAATAAATTGATGAACAGTTAACAATTTCAAATGAATAAATTGATGAACAGTTAACAATTTCAAGTTAACACATTTGTCAACAGTTAACATTTTTATTGTTAAAAGTTTCTTGTAGAAACTTTGATCGAATTCTAGTAATGGTTGTATTAAGGAGAGGGGAAAAGCTGAAGATTGTATTTTAATTTGATTTAACCAATCTGTAATCATATTGGTATTCAGTTTATTTGATTTGCTGATCTTTAACTCCAATGAATTTCGGAGCTTCAGTTTACGTAACATTGTCGAAGAGTTCATATACTATGATTAAGTAAGCATTCCAATTGTAAACTCTCATATCGTAATTAAGCAAAGTTAATAATCAAATAATCAATTATTTGAAGCTTGGAATGTGGAATTGTGGACAGTAGGAATCAGAGATTATTTTATGAATTTATGATATTTTGTTTAACTTATAAGAAATTTTAAAGTCTTTGTCTAATTTATATTGTGACATCATTGATATTTGTTCTCATGAAAAGTGCATCTTAGAATATATTTCTCATCATTGTATTAACTTAGCGAGAGCTAGAACATTATATTTTCTGGCTGCGACCTTTAGCAACGAGGCGACACTGAGCAAGAGTCCATCGTGGGGGCACAGCCAGCCGATTTCATTTCAGAATGTTGAACTTCTCACAAATATTCAGATGGTCATTAAGGTAGAAATCTAAAGAGGCGTCATCAGATGAATATGGGGCATTGTAATAAAAGGTTAAATGTCAAGACACTCCATTGTAAGATTTGTTTTCATTGCTTTGTGAATTGTTGTATTGGAGATGCAATATTGGCTTTCCTACTAATCCAGGGTCCGTTTTTCTAAGCACTAGTATAATGTTTCTTTGATTAGTAGGTTAGTGACATAAAATAGTTCTGATATGTAACAATGACATCATTATATAAAAGAAAAAAAAATACTATGGCAGCAATAATACAAACAACAAACAAAACAACATATTGATAGAAAAGCTGATAAAACACTGCTTCAAATAGTTGTATTTTAGCAATTTTCACATTTTAGCAATGTTCTGGAGCTGCTCCGCATACCTCTCACCGCAGTAAGCATAACAACCGTATCTTGAACACGTTTAGACTATATGTGATGAAAATTGGTAGATATTATTGTAATAATATTCCTCTACAATATGTAAGTATTTGTATCTTTACTTTCCCGACTCCCTGTGTAAAATTAACATGCTTACTTACCTTGTAAACTAATTTCTAGGAAATATGTCGCATATTTCATGATATACAGCTTAGTTTTTGCACTATGTACAGGCGATTTACATGTCTCCGGGTTGGACTGGTCATCTGCTACACTCAGTGTTATGTAATAGTCCACAAAATGGGCAGGGGTGGGTAGCCCAATGTTCCATTTAAAGCAGTCTAATAGAGTCAGTTCCATTTGCTGATATTCCCAGGCTGTGTAACCTTTTGGATTCACATACACATTTAGATCGGTTGATTTTGGAATGTTGATTTCTTGTTCTTCATATTTAGCTGGAAGTTAGGAGAACAAGACACAGAGTATACATTAATATCATATTTTGAAGACCAAAATGGCAACCACGTAATCTACCCAGCAAGCCCAAAAACTAATCAGATCTTGGCACTAATCTGTTCTTCCAACTTTTACAAAAGAAATAATTCGACAGTGTTGATACTCAAATGGCAACAGAACAACAGAAAAATGCATGATCCACTAACGTAATGATAACTTCTCAATCATTGTGGATTGGTGGAATCATTTAAAGTTTCTTGTGTGTGGTGATTCCTGCATAATATACTATCCTACTGTACTCCCAGTATTTTTATGTGCTATTAATTTTCGCCAAATTGTCAAGAACTTACCTGCGACTAGTATACATCCGATGGCCACAAGATACAGTTGAGGTTCCTCAATGTCAAACTTATCCATGAAATAATCTAATAAATATACAGATAGATGGCGTGCAGTGGTACAGAGTTTGAATTTATCGCAGATGACTGCTAACCAATCTACGACGTAACGCCTGAGATGCATTTGTGGAGACCTGGAGAAATATAGAGGCATCTTGGTCTCTTTCAGTTTCAGTGTTTCGTGGATGTCGTTTGCCATTGGGTTCAACCACCATTCTTTTTCCACCTCCATTTTCTTGAATATTTGTTGTCTCAGGTGAACCAATTGTTATGCAGTCAACAAATCTGCAGTGGAAAAAACAGAATATATGAGCATTTTTAAGACAGAATAATTGTGTAAAACCCATCTATGAAGTCTACATTTAAGTACTTGAACTTTACAGTTCAAATCAAAATCCCCACTGTAACAGCTAGAGAGGGTACATATTTTCTTTGTATGACACTGTACTGATCTTTCCCTATTCATACAATATGCATAACTTGGGGGTCATTAACAGAAACTTAGGTTAAGTTTGCCTGAACTGATTAACGTATACATAAAAATATTGGGCGAGACTTGAGATAATGTATGCGGCGCCAGTCAAAATTGAAACTTCTGATTGGGTTCGAAGCCGAGATGCCCGGATATGACTGAGCAAAAGCCGGAATTCACGTGATTTTTCACGAAGAAGGGGCAGAGTTTAAGCGAGATTCATCGAGACTTCTTCGTGTCAATCGTGTCAATCCCTGCATTGGTTATTGTTAACTTCACCTTTTTGCCCATATATGGAGATGCCACTTGTTGTAACCAAAAATATAGTGCTAATGATATAGTTAAGAAATTCTTTAACTTTTCAAAGTTTGCGAATATAACCCCCTAGCAAATATAACAATTCCAATCATATTTAGGCAATGCCAAGGCGGTACAAACCCTATCAATCTTACGAACATCAATCTGGGAGGTATTAATATCTCCAATTACAATTTTCCCTGGCAATTTATTCGTCAGTTGAACTTAATCCCTTCTAAATGAGTTTGTAAATGCATTCAATATAATGCTACAGATAATCCATAGATTATGTATTATGAACAACTTTAGATATTGGTACTTTCACACTCTCAAAAACTTAAAATATTTCAAGTGATTTCTCCTGTTTTCCAACAATATGGGAAGCATTTTGAATGGATGAAACACTGATCAGGAAAAATAATATTTTCATGTTCTTTTGCCATACAATGAATGAGAAACACCAAGAGCAAAAATGGTATCATTGTTCAATGGCCACAGATGGTGTCCGATTCATGCTTTCCTTTTCATCTTCAATTCAATCTTCATAAGTAATTCTTCAAACTTCAATATTCATTAGAAATATTAGATCAATTTTCATACAACAATTGAAAATATGTTCTTAATGAAAATATTCCAATACAAGAAAATATATTTCACCTTTCATGATTTCATAACATGGGGTCAATGGGGAATTTCCCCCCCCCAAAAAGGTCATATTTTCTAAAATATAAAAGTTTACAAACAAACTTTAAAACCATATTTTTAGATGTGATTTTGAATGTAGATTTCAAATTTGATATCACCTTGACTTAAAGATTAATAAAAATCTTATGACAAAAACTCACACTGATATTTCTCAACATAATCACAGGATATTTTTTCTGCTTTGGAAAGAATTTAAATGTCCAAAATATTATATTTTCATAACAGGAAAGCTAATTTCTCCAAAACGGGCCAAAAGTGAGAGTCCCAAGTTATTTTCAGGAACATATAACTCAGCATTCCATATGAGGTACATAAATAAAGCTAGATTATTAGTTTTAGGGTTCATATTTTTCTACAATGTGTAAAACTAGACAATATTCAGAGACTGTTTAAACTACAAAAATGTAGTAATACTTAAATGTAGATTCTGTGAGTTATATATAGCATTTTATCAGACGATTATTATATTGTTAGATCTGGAAAAGTTGTTCGAACATATTGAAATTATACTTATCAGTGATACAGGTGTAAACATATCAGCAGTGATTGATTTATACAAATATTAGGAGTGAAGCCTAGGAAAGCGGTTATCTTTTATCACTATCGATAAGCCAGCAAAATCTTCTAAATTCCACTGAATCTCCTCAATTCCTTATGCTATACTACTAGAATGAAATCGCCAGGCCGAAAATATCAAAATTTCTAAGCTGTGATATGGTTATATTGCACGATGTAAAAATATTGATATAGCAATATGTGAAATAAGTGTGTAAGAGTCGAACTTCGGCAGACAATTCTGAAATCAAAAATCTGGAATAGAAATACAATGTGACATTAGTTCAACAAGTTTAACCCAATACCACGGCTTTCATTTATTAATCTGAATGGTCTTGTTGCCATGGTTGAGGGCAACAAGATATGTCAGATAAGAAATAAGGCCCCAGACTAGGTTTAACTTGTTGAACTATGTCGACATGGGCTTTCAATATGATTCATATTGAATTCATTGAATGCCCATGATGTTGATGGTCATATTTCGAAGTCATGAATGCAGTCAAAGGCTGACATTTCGTTTATGAAAAATTAGATGATTATTGTGATTTGTATAGCCTACTTGTCCCATCTGGAGTTCAAATTCATTAACAACCAACATGAAAACAAGACGTTTCAAAATTTGCGGTTCAATTTCAATGATGCATGAAGTTTTCTTTAGGCTCCAATATTGTATGCTAGAAACCTTCTATGGAATAAAAAACATCAGCATGAAGTAAAAGTAAAATAAAGAATCATTTAATGATAATTTTTACAAATTCTCAGTAAGAAAAACATGCCTTACTCGGCAAAACCTACCACACATGTGAATTTTTGGAGATGCTGAACTCACAAAATCTTGGATTAGCCAGCGACACCTTTTGACAAAAAACTTGAACTAAGATTTATGTTCAAAACCAAATAGCTTCACCACCAACAAAAGCATACATCAAATTAACTACTACTACTACTGAACATTTACGGGGCATAATAAAATTAATATAATTGCTGTGTAAAACATTATCATCTTATAGTTGCATTTCTAAAAAGGATCCAAGGGGTCTTGGTGACTAAATCCCAATGCGCATGTGCCCAGCCCTTGCAAAAAGCGTTATGCCCTAATAAATGAACCCCCGGGGGTTTTAAAGATATCTACTATGGGTGACCAAAATTAGCTGAAAGCAATGGATCGCATGAGTTTTCCCTATGGGAAAATAACATGGGAAATATTGTTTTCCCCTTTATCTAAAGGGAATCACTTATTCTTTAAAGGGATTAACTGTGTGTCAAAACACATGCAAGAAAAATTAAAAAAGCAGGGGTGGAAGGGGTTGAAAATCAGGAAAACATTTCAGAAAAAACATGTGGGTGGGTTGTTTGCGGTTATGTATATTTTGCAAGTGGATCCTCTTAAGTGGATCCAAGAGACCAAGGGGCATGTCCATTATTTTGCAGGGGTGGCAGGATGCCACATTCCAATTTCCATTAATCGATTGTCTACCTCTAAAAATGTATTTTTTAATTTTTCTTATTTAGATTTTATTTATTCAGGGATATCTAATAAGAAAAACATATGTTTTCTTGTTTCCATTATAACCCTGCAGACAATCATACACACTACAATTAATAAAATATGTGACAATACATATCATGCAATTAGAAATTTCTAAAAACAGTACATTAATATGTGTAAAAATAGAATATGGCTAAACTAGTCTATAAAAATAAGCATTTGAAATTTACTGTCACACTTACGTTCATTTGAGCATATTAAGACATGTAAAATTACAATTATTCACTAATTGAAGCAAGGAATTGCTTTTTTAGATGAACTTTAATAAAAGATTGCACTGTAGCAGATTCCTTTAAATCTAAAGGTGCCTTGTTCCAGAGAACAGATGGTCTGTAACTAAAAGTTTGTGTGCCTGCATTATTACAATTTTGTTTAATAAAAATACATTTGTTAGTAGTAGCACGAGTACCATAGTTGTGAGTGTCCTTAGTTAAGGTAAAACTTTCCTGCATATAAGTGGGAACCAGTCCATTCACTACCTTATACATTAGTGTCAGATTGTGCATGTCCTGCCTCTCTCTTATGGATGGCCAATTAAGAGTATTTCTAACATCCTGGGATGGTGTACGTGGGGCACATTTAACTATCAATCTACCAGCACGGTTTTGGAATCTCTGAATGGCATGACATGACATGATGAGAAGACAATTGGCCCAAAGAATGGTTACCTGTATTTCACAGTGGTGGTCTTGTAGTGGGGGTCTTTTACAGGGTGACCAGAAAGAAATGTTTATCTACCTTAATTTTCAATATTTTTACTGCAGGTTTTTAGGCACTAGTGCTACTTCTTACCTGGACGGATTAATTAAGTATTTTTGAAGCATCCCCATCCTCTTTGTAATGTCCCATACTCACATTGCTTTATTTCATATAAAAACTACCTAATATTGGTAGTCAACTAGATATCAGATCCCTAAATGCTGAAGTCAGTCGCGAATTCAATAAAAACCAGCTTAGAATGAAGAAACAACTTATTTTCAGTAATGTGTAGTTAATTTGATTTTTTAATAATCTTTTGGATAGTAAAGGCTTTTATTTCGGACCCGCCCGACAAAAAATGGGAAATAAAAAGGTAGTTTCGTCACCTGGATATACACAAAACCTGTAAGTAATTTATAACTTATTCTAGCATTTAAACATTTAAATGTTAAAATTTAGTTAAAATGTTCACAAATAAATGAAATTGATTCAAATATGTTTTTGTGAGGCTGAAGTTCGCCACACATTCATGTAAATAAACTTTATACCGAAAGATAGATGTCGTCCAGGCACCAGGGGCAGACATGTTTGCAGATGTAGGCAATGAAGGGGAATATACACACATAGTTGGGAGGAGGTCAAGATTAGCGTAAAAATATACGTGTACCTACTACCTATTCCCATCCGTAAGTTTGTTACGGATGCGTATAGGTAATGCCTATTGCAAAATGAGTTTAAGATGAACGTAAAAGGCTACACGACTGATAATAAAGGACCCACGGTCCTGTGCTCACACAGTTTGGAACCTTCAGAGGAATGTATATCCTGACTTTCAAACAAAAATATTGATTTGGATTTATAGTCTCGAACTTTGAGAAACTTAGATAGCACAGTTGTGTGACCTAGTTTGATGACCTTTGACCTTGAAAATTTTACTTATTCAGAGCTCAGTAAGATCTTTTGTGATTAAGCTGACCTTTACATCCAAAAATCAATTTGAAAAATCAACTTTTTTGACCTTTCGAAGGTCACTGAAGGTCAAGTAAAGGTCAAATCCTAAAACTAATGTCAGATTTGAACTCCTGGCAACTTGTAGATGATTTTCAAAAAAATTGGTCAAATTGAAGCAAGTTGAAAAATAACTTATTATGCTGACATATATTGAGCAATATGTAGGGAATGCTTAAATCTAGTAATGATGTAATTCGTTGCAAGAAATTATCACGTATAATGCAAACTTTGAGAAACTTTGTCAATCACAAAACCTGCTATTGACTTAAAACATGAGAAAGTTTCCTGAAAATGAGTAAGTCCTACTTTTTGTCAAATTTTATAGAGTAAACTGAATTGAAAGTTCTACTTCAACAAAGTGTCTAGTATTTACAGAAAATTTGACTTTTTGACATCAAAATCAGCAATTTCTCGGAAACCGGGCGAAATTGGGCATTATGGATATGCATAAAATGAATGTGGATATCCGAATAGCACTTTTAATTTGTGCAGCCAATGTTGACGGACGGACCAACGGACGGACGCCTGGTCGATCCCATAGGCTCACTGTGTGATGGAGCTAAAAATGACATCTAAATCTAATGAAAATCATGTATGGCTTATATGGCATATATGGCATATACCAGTACAGTCACCTCCAAGTACTGTTATATACCTCAGAGAGAGAGTGTGGTGTAGCTACTGTAGTTGGGAGGGGTTGCTGCTTGTGGGCAGGCTAATGGGGCAGTGACTTAAGGCGAAATGTTAAATTTCTAGCATGATCCAGCAATGAGAGTGACCAAATAGTGAAATTAAACAATTAAAACTACACGAGAAAATAGCTGATTTCTTGCATTTACAATAAGAAAAAGAATGAAGAATGTGTAAATTCAACAATTCATGCATCATCACATGGCATCGTTTATAATTCATCTGGTAGTTGGTAGATTGTAAATAAACATGAATTAGACTTCACAATTTAGAACAATTGAGTGGTAACCGACACGACAGGCTATAACATAGGGTATTGGGTTATGTACGTCAAAAATGAAGTCCCCATCCCTTGATTAACGGCTTGTTTCACCTAGCTTGTAGCGGTAACATTTAATTCCCAAAAAGCAAAGAACATCATTAAAATATATGTACATATTTCTTAAAAACACATATACCATACTTAAGCACCTTTTGAATTTGATCGTGCTTGTGTGTTCTCATTCACCTGCAGTTAACCTCGGCAGCAACTTATTTTGTTTATGGATCTCCCGTTGTTCATATTAAAGCAGGCAAAGAAATGTTTTCATACATTTACAATTACTCAGAGGCCGAAGTATCCACCCTATGATGAACTAAAAAGTGAAGTATTGGTATAAAACGTGTCATTTTGATACTTGTAATGTGCTTGTTTTTGTATTGCAAAAGGATTTATCGTTCTGACAACATGGACGATAGGCGAACAGGCTACAACATAGTATAGGCCTACAACTAAAATGTGTCAGTTTCAACTGAAAATTATAACTTTTTGTGAAAGTATTATTAACAGAATTCAAGTTTGAAGACTACTTATTTTCACTGCCTCAAAAATATAGAGTCATTTTATCAAAATACAGAATGTCCAACACAAAATTACTTATTGAGAGGGGTAGGTATAGAAATGTAGAAAGAAATAGAAGATTTTGTGAACTATGTAATAACAATTCATTGGGAGATGAATTTAATTTTATATAGAATGTAAGTCTGTTAAAAGCATTAGAAAACAATATTTACCCCAATATTTTTGTAAAAACATTAGTACTTTTAAATATGCCAAGCTGTAACAATCTGATAGTAAAGTATTGTTAGCATTATGTAAGTTGTCTAAATGAAGCTGGGAAGCAATTGTTAATATGTTTGTTATGAAATACTTAATTGTTATATACTTATTTACTGTATGTTCTTTTGCCTAATACCCTTTATTTGGGTGATGGTATAATAAATAAAATTGAAATTGAAATTGAATAAATTGCACGCCCAGGTATTCAGCAATGGGGCAACGAAACGCAAAGTTTAAGTTCGGTGCTGGATTCTAGTTGCACAGGGGCAGTCCTGTGTATCAGTGCAAAAATGTTCTTCATCATGTGAAATGGTTTGTTTGGAGATATTATGGACGGCACTAGTTTACTCAATTCTTGTAGAACCAAAAGTACCTGTCGCAGACAAGTATGTACAACGAATCCAATAATTAGAGTTTCCAAAAGTAAACAACAACATTTTCAACATTTTCACGTTTTCCTGAATGCAAATAAAGCAGGTATATCCAGAACTTTGGCAATATCAAAACAATCAAATAAAAAATGAATTCCATCAAGACCATGAAACTTTGTCAAAAAGACCATGAATATATGTGTAAAAAAATTAAAAAATGAATTCCATAATACAATAAACTTGTGTGTCATAAAATAAAAAATCAAATGAATAGATTTAACCCTAACCTTAACCCTTATTCTAAGACCCTAGATATGGGTGTCAAAATAAAAATGGATTTGTATTTCAAAAAAATAAAAAAATAAATTTAAACCTAACCTGAACCCTAAGAAATATATGTGTCAAAAAATGAATTCCATACATACAATAGGTATCAATTGATTAAAAACTGTAATATGCATGGTAAT